AGCAACTCACCCACTCCCTGGTTAAGAGCAAGAGAATTAATTGCGCTCGTGATTATACTATACCATCGTACAGTCTGATGATGCTGGTAGTTGAAACCATTAGTTACCGGCACAAATGAGCTGCTGACCGTTGCTTCCGCCGGCACCGTAGCAAGTAACCATAGCATAGTCCGCACCCCTTTGTGGTGGAATTTAGCTCTCGGACAGTGGACCTTTCTGGAGCCTGTGATACCTGATACCGGCAAAATAACTACTGTAACTAACCAAGGATCCAAACAAATGTGCGGGAACTTTGTATAGGATACCTCCTATACGGTACTACCTGGAAACTTACAGTAAGTTAGAGATCTACTACGCTAGTTGGCAGGCGGATGGGGGGGGGGGGGTCCATGGTAGAAATCCTTTTACCGGACGATGTTTTATCTAGCGCTCAAGTATCTAAGATTTTACTCGAGCATACAAATTCATGCTGCCGTATTCGACATCATACCCATTTAGTACCAGTTTCACATCAAACATACTAAAAGTGTTGCCCTGGCGTGCAGTCTGGAACTCTGTCTACGTAAATATGCGGCAGTTCTTCTCTCATCCAACGCCACAATTTTGGACACTGTGTATTGAAACCGAGCAATACAAGCACTTCGAGCTCAGCTTGCCGGTGTTTACAACACATCTTCCCTTTGTTAAAGACGGTTCCCCGTCTACAAATAGTACCTTCCCGTTGGATTGTTTCCACCGACTATTCCGTCAACACGGTTTTGGATTCGTAAAGGGTAATCATGTCGGATGAGGTACTGTTCTGACATCTCGAAGTGAAGCAGTGATATTGCTAATACGTAGAACTACAATGTCTGTGCTGTGTACCTATCTGGTAGGGGAGATCGAGCACTTACTGTCCCATTTCTAAAACCTCTCTCGAGTGGGTAAAACTGTGAGAGGGACCAGACGCTAACAGACGGAAGCACTCTTTTAATGTTTAATTAGACCTTGTAAGGGGCTTTGGAGTTATTATCATCTGTACCAGCCACCCTCTGACCGAAACGCTATACACTCCATAATATTTATTACTACGGAGTACTGCCCTACATTTTCCTCCATCCACATGTTCCTAAGGATGAGGTGGCTAATTCCCTTGCCCAATTCTTAAGCGGCTGACTCAAATAAATATCTTTACATGTGCGCTGCATAATACAATAATTTTCCATCAGATGCAGTGTGCAGGACAGAGCACTGCGGCCGTTCCCATGATAGGGGTTGAGCTTTGTCGATCAATTTCTCCTTGAAGGTACCAATGTCGATCCCTACTACTGAGCGGTCCTGCTTGCTTTTCCGCACATAGGATGCCAAGACAACAGCATACACAGCATGAACCCTTCCAGCCACAGAGCCCGTTTGACGGAGGCATGCACACATGAAGGATTTCTCCTTGTCTGAGACCTTATGGACTAATACGAATGACCCCTTCGAGTCATGATGTTTCCAACTCCGCAACTGTTAAGGTATCGACAATTCCAGAAATTGGCGAACCATATAGCGGCTGGTGTTAAGCCGACAACAATCTTCTGCTGAACTTGCTACACCAAACGAGTCGGCATCAACTTGCAATGACTATTCAGTCACCTTGCCGCATGTCTCTGTCTCCTTTCTAGGTGCAATCCACAATGTCGATGAGCGGACCTTGTCTCGAGAGATGAACTTCACCAACAATGAGCCGATTGCCATATCCCTTCCTGGGGGAGCACAAGTTGACACTGTGGAAGACCAGCTCTTCTTCCATGTCAGCATTAATCTTTATACCCCTAAGAATACCTGACTTATATTTTACCACCTGCTTATCCTTGACCTTGATATGACTTAGAATCCTCAATGAACTTATGTTGGATATTCCCCGAACCGTGTGATCTTTTTGATCATCGGTATGGCACACAGTAAGCTAAGGGACCAGGGGAAATTCAAGTGTAACCGTGTGCGAAGCGTCGAGGCCGAGAAGACGTATATGTGTTTATCAGTCCCTTGCCGCGCCAAAATCCAATTGTCGAGCGGCATTTCTGAAGGGAGTATCGTTAAGTTCTCCACCTCGCCTCGTTAAATCATCGCCCATCTTTTTAGTTCCGCCAACTTTTCTAGGAAGATCTTGTTTCTTAGTTGGCTTCGGTTCAGCAAGCCACCAGCCGTGTTGTAGGATTTGGCAGGCGGTGCTCCGTTTTCTGGGATCCAAAGTACACATCGACATGAGCAAGTCTGCCCCAACAGGCCCAGCCGTCGGAAACTGCCTGAGAAAAAAATCTCGACCTTGTAAGGGCACAATATGATTCGGATCGGCTGGTATGTAATTTGGCAACTTAGTTACGCCAGGCCAGTTCTCTTCAGTTGGTGTCCCGAAGGCTTCGCAAATCTTGGAAATTTGATCCAAGTCTGAGTTCCCTGCGACAAATGGGACCCGTAGAAGAAGTTCGGCAAAAACCATTCCCATGGACCAAACGTCGACTGCTCCAGAATATTGTCGCGCACCGAAGAGCAGCTCGGGGGGTCGATACCAGCGTGTGATCACCTGGTGTGTCATGTTCAAGTATGGGTCAGCGAACGACCTGGCCAAACCGAAATCTGCCAGCTTGACCTCGCCGTCAGCGGCGACTAGAAGGTTGTTTGGTTTGATATCTCGGTGCAGGATGTAATTCTCATGACAGAACCAAACACCCCTGGCAAGCATACCCATCCAGGCCTTAACATCGGCAGCCCCGTAATGAATATTGTTATCCCTGATGAGCATCTCTAGATCACCGCGTGGCAGGTACTCGAGGACCAGATTGAGGTTTTGATCTTTGGACGAGAACACATCGTGGAGTGCAATTATATTTGGATGAGAAAGCTCCTGGAGGTATTTCACTTCTCGAATAGCGTCCATAGAAAGCCCATCCTTGTATTCAGCATTGACCTTGATCTTTTTTATTGCAACGAATGACGATGGGTCGGTGCGAAGGTGCCCGAGAAAGACTACAGCATAAGTTCCCTCACCCAACTTCTTATCTGCAAGATTGGCTATTGATTAGTATCGCCTTGCTGATACTGCTGAGATTGTGATTCAAAGTATTATAGAAATGACAGGATGTATTGGATAGTGGAGTTACATTAAAGCGAGCGATGGGAGTTCAGTACCTTTTATGTATTTGTGCCTCACATCGTCGTTAAGTTGCTCCGTGATTTCGCGGTCAGGATTCTTCATGCGCTGGGGCGGCGATGAGCCCTTTGGCTTATTAGGTGAGTTGATTCCAGATTCATTATCGAGCTTATTGCCTGTATTCGAGCTTGAGGCGGCAACTGATGAGGCGTGGGGAACCAAAGGCGAAACCGCCATCGTCTGCTTATATGCCCTCAATCCCAATGGGCAGGGAGAGGATGATTAGTGTCACCGATGCAGCAGCAGCATTCCAGAGAGCGTAGATCGACGGGTAGTGAAAGTCGACAGTCAAGAGTGTCGGACTGGTTGGCAAGATATGACACAAGTTGCCTGAGTATATGCGAAGCTAGGATCAGAGTTCGGAGTTTTGTTGATCCCGGGACTGCCCCGGAACTGCGCATGCCGCCGAACTTTTCTCCAGGTTGGTCGGGACCGAGTGTGAAGGCATCTAACTCTTACTACGCTACCAAAGTGACTATTTTCAGCGACGGGGAAGGGGCCCGAATTTTTTCAATTCCGCATCCTCCCGAATTCCCTGCTTTTTAAACGAACCATCGATAGTGCTCAATCAACAACTTCGAGAGGGCATCGGTTGTCTTGAAGAAGCCCGACGACATAATGGCGACGCGCAGCTCGCACCGCTTGTCCTTGCAAGTGATGAGGTCCTTGACGATAAGCAAACAATTCATACGAAATCTTCATAAGAACACGGGCGCCCCTTCTCCGCCGTCACCCACTCCCTTCGTTCCCGATGTCGAGACCTTTCTTAAATTGATCGGTCGTGGGATGCACAAGCACGCGAGCAAGCTGCCTTCCTGGGATAAGCTATTCACTTCCAGTTCCACTGAACTTCGAGATCTGGGCATTGAGCCCGCACGTCAGCGGCGTTACCTGCTTCGCAAGATGGACAAGTTCAGGCAGGGGATCTATGGGCCCGGTGGAGACCTGGAGAACGTGGTCGATGGCGTTGCGCAGCTTCGAGTTGTTGAAGTCCCAACACTGAACAAGGAAACGTCGCACCCTTTGAATTCCTCGGCTACTTTATCTCCGGGGATGAAAAGAGTCATTGTCAACATTGCGCCGGATGCTTCTGAATACACTCATGATCCCACGAAACCCCTCAAGAAGTTTGCCCGCATGAAGATCACTGCCGGTTCTGCTATCAGTGGCCCGTATCTCCAACCGATCAAAGGCACAAATGGTAGTGCGGCCCTAATCAAGGTCGAAGAGGGCATGTGGGAGGACAAGCTCGGCCAGAAAGTGGACGGTGGTGAAAGGAGACGTGCTGAAGTTCGGGCCAAGAAGCGAAGCGAAGAGAGGAAGAAGGGAATCTAAGACTACGCCACAAAACGCACATACTTGTTCTTACCTACCTCCGTTGTATCTTAAAGGGCACTTATATCGACTCATGTCACATGTATTTTATTTCATAGATTAACAGTTCTTCCGGCTATTGACACTGTTTCCCATCGCGTTCAAGAAAAGAATTCTATTTCTGATAGAATGGCCGTCCCATAAGACGCCTGTATGGGACAGTCGCTTTGACTATAGATACATTATGGCCTCTTCAAAATGCGTGTAAACCACGTAAACATAACACAATCCTCACTCATAGTCAACCCTAGATCAAGACGTTGGATTGAAGTACTGTACAAGTAACCATTACATGAGTATGGAACCGGCCAATAAAGCCCCAAAGGAAACCAAGAGTAAAAAAAGAAAATTCCATGAAATGACCAATTCCGAGTCATTTTCATCGTATTACATGAGAGGTTTAAGTACAATCACCGAACGCGGTTTCTATACAGTAACAGGCAGGTTGTCATGATTTAATGGTGGTAGCGCGCTTCTCAAATTGAATGATGGACTTCCCAGCGGGCTTGGAGAAGAGAGACTAGAATTGGTCAGCTTTGTCAATCGTAGCCATAAAAGTCGACGCATGATCGGTCTGAAAAGGGTGTAGCTTACCGAGTAGTCTGTTTCCGGGATATCCTTGACGTTTGGCAGGTTGCGGAACTTGAATAGCCTCACCAAAGCCGCAGTAATCGCACCAAGTTGCACGTAGGCGAATTGTTCACCGATGCATCTGTGACGTCCCGCACCGAACGGAAGGTAGGGGCTATTAGTTCCTTTGCTGACAAGTCCATATCCATAATCAATTTGGTCTTCTTCTTCCGCACTAGCCGCAATAGTCTCATCCCAACGGTGAGGATCCCATTTGAGAGGGTTGGGGAAATATTCCTCGGATCTTGCGGTAACACCAGGTGACGAAAGGACATTGTGACTGGTGGGAATAACATATGGCGTGCCATCCACAGGCATAGGGTTTTTGACTGCGCGGATGATTGAATGGATTGGCGCGTGGATTCGTAGTGTCTCTTTGATCACTTTAGCGTGCAAGTCAAGTTTCTGCAAGTTATCATAAGTAAGAGGTGGAAGATCTGACCCAAGCACACGGATCTGCTCAGCATATAACTCTTCCATGATCTGCGGGTTTCTTGCAAGGTGCAAAACTATCCATGAAGCTGTCGACGAAGAAGAATGCTGGCCAGCCATCAGTAAGGCGATCATCATGTGTGCGATTTCCTCGTCTGGAACCGGAGTGCCATCTTTGTATATGCATGACATGAGATTCCAGACCATATCCTCGGAATCCTTCTTGTTTCCACCAATACGGCGTTCCTTGATAATCTCCATATAAGTTTCGGTCATCTTTTTCTGTGCAGCATCACGTTTCCGGTTGTGGGGAAGTGGTGCCCAGGGGAGCATGAAGTTGATAGGAGCAAACCCCATGTCAAGATCATGATATAATTCGGCGAAAGTAGAATCAAATCGGCTCCGAACTTCCTTTCCTTGAAGCGAACGTGACGCGGTGTAGATGGTGATTTCTGCGATGGTTTTACAGACGTCGAAAACGCCACTTGACCCTTTAAAAGCCGCAGAATGCTCGACAAAATTTTCTACCTCGCCAGTGATCAAACGAACGTATGAACGTAGGGCATCTGATGTGAGACCAAATTTGACAAACTACCATCATTAGTACATGTGCCAAAACTTTGTCAACGCTCAAGCTCACCTTCTTCTGCTCCATAAGTTTGGCATTGGGACAATCGTACACCACATTACGCCCAAAGACAGGAGTTGTAAGCGGGGAATAGACTTCTTCAGCACAGACATCACGTAGCTTTCCGTTTAGAATGAAATCGTTGCCCCTGGTTCCCAGATAAACTGTTGTCTTCTTGCCGAGGAGAATGAATGTGAAAATATCGCCGTACTGTAGGTAGATTCGAGTCAGCACAAAAACAAAATATCGATACCTTCACAATACCAGTCCGTACCTTTGCGCGACAATCGAAGAAGAATTTATAGGGGTCCATGCCATAGCTAATAGTGCTACCTATGAATGGAAACCAGTGAAACACCAGAGGAGGCTCATTGGGATTCTTGAAGAACAACTGTCTTAGGATATTGAAAATGACAGAGACGGCCAGCAGGGATAACAGCCCGAATCCCAAGACTACTAGCACTGACGTGTTCGAGCAGCGCTCGCAGAGGCTGTCGAGAACAACCGCGAGCAAGCCCATGATGGGACGACAGCGGGAACAGAATAACCGGAATAGACTGATTGAAGTGAGTTTGTTATGTTCACAAGGAAGAGTGACTCAAGCAGAGGCACCTTCCTAGCCCTCGGCGTGGGAGCGCGACGGATGCCTGTGTAAATTGCTTGTAACGGCGCAGGAAAGTGAACTTTGGGAAAGAAACAAGCAAGAGAGAAAAACGGCAGCACGCCACTTGCCAGTAAGTGAGCGCCCTTAGTAAAGTAATACTAGTAGCCTCGACCCGCTCACGGATTCTTGGTGGGCGTACCAATTTGAACGGATCCGCGCCCGCGGCTCTCCTAGTAGCAGGAACTGGACAGTCCAAAGTCTGAAAGTACCCAGCCGTTCCTCGGAGTGGATCCAGGCCCGTTCCTGCCCCTGGTTAAGGAGTACATAGCCGTAAAATACGAAATACGCATTTTGCTACCCAATATCTAACTTCCTGATTAGTAGTTAAGAAACTACTAGTGGTAGTACTCCATACTAGAACTACTAAACGTTCCCATTGTGTACTAGGAGCGATGATACAATCTATTTCCCCATGCTATACATTGTGCAATGTATAGCTCCGCCCTCTTTATTGCAGTAAATGAGAAAGGCCCAAGACTCTCACTACGTAAGTGTGTGTGCCGAATATGCAACCCATCGATGCAGGTAGGTCCTGCATACGAAACAAGCAGGATTGCCTGTCTATTGAAGAAGCTTTCCCTTGCAGCAATACGAAATCGGACCTCTCTTTCTTTTTTGCTTACCTTGGTTCTGTTCGAATTCAACTCGTGTGAGTCATTGTAAAAGTACCCATCGCATGATATTGGACGGCTCTAGTCGGCATAAGTACTAAGTTCCGATGCGTCTGGAAGTGCCCCTGGCTAGCAATTGAAAGCTAGTACGTCTATGAAGCGAAGCTCTTAGTCTGTGTATGTTATACAGTCGTCTCAAGCTGTTATTATTGTAAGTAATAGAAAGTCGATTACAGAGTATACTTGACTCTTGTCTATGCCCTCAAGTACTCGTAGAGCACGCTAATGCCACCCTACCAAGAAAACGGCCAGTCCTCCTAGGAATACACTCAAAGAGAACTCGGTTTCTGCCACGGCCAACATAAACTCGATTCGATGGCTTCAGAGGATCTCCAGTTGCACAAGGCTGTCTCCTCTTCAGTTATGCCCATGTTTTGGTTTGTCATCGAACAAAACTGGGTCACCTTGTTCTCCGAGGTTGACAAAGTTATTCGGGGCACTTTTCTCGTTAGGTGATACTTCACGCTCTCGTGCATTTTTGGCTGGATGGTTGTGAACACGTTTCCCAGCATCGTTCTTGTGGAAAACTTTGACAGGAGCACCACTTGTCCGCTCATGTTCACTGTAGCGAACATCATTGAGATTGCTGAGAAGTGTTCTTTCGCGCGCTAGCTTTCTTTTTGAAAAGTCCAACTTCCCTAAAGCCCCAGTCAGGCCGTCTGTGCTGTCGGTAACACTAGGCTGCTTTCCTGTAATCCATGGGTGCTCTAAGCATTCATCCACCGTGATTCGGTCGTCAACATTAACTGTGAGCATTCGGTCTATCAGATCCAAGGCCAGATCACCCACAGTGTCCCAATACGGAGATGGATAGTCGAAGCTCCCTTGTTGTATTTGTTGTGCTAACGTGTACGGGTGCTCAGTTGTGTATAGTTCGTCAGAGAATGGGGGAAATCCGCAAAGGCATATGTATAGAACGACTCCGAGAGACCAGACATCCACAGCCTTTGTGTATCTTCGATAGCGCCGCTCCTGCAAGATTTCTGGCGCGACATCTACAAAATTAGTATTATCGTTCCGGCATCCGAGTGGATTAGGAGACTCACAGGTTGGTGTGCCGCATCTTACCAACAATGATTAGTTAGCACTAATATTAAAGAACATTGGAGTACGTGCCATACAGTGTGGTAGTAAACGAGTCTTCACCAATAATCTTGGCTAATCCAAAATCACCAAGTTTCACTGTCAACTCTTTGTTGGCGACAAGAATGTTTTCAGGTTTAATGTCACGATGAATGATGCCTCGGTCATGCTAACACTCCGTCTTAGTCGCTACTACCGGGAAAAACAAAAGATTGGCAAGGGAGTTGTAGAACATACCAAATACTTCAGCCCTTCAAACAATTGGATAAAGATGCAACGAGTCTCACTTTCTGAAAATTTCTGCTGGCTGATAATCAAGTTGAACAATTCGCCTTCTGGAGCGAGTTCCAGGACCAGATAAACGCCGTCGCTTTCGTCGAATGTATCTCTGAGGCAAAGCAAATTCGGATGACTGACGCCCATCAAGATACCGATTTCCTGATGAAGAACTTCATTTTGGGAATGCTGCGAATCGCCAGAGCGTTTCTCGAAAACTTTTACAGCATATTGAGCACCCGTAGACCGTTCTACGCAAAGGTAGACTGTGGCGAAGTGGCCTTTCCCAAGCTGTTGCAGAAGCCTATATTGTTGGCGGAAACGATTGGTGTCTCGTGTCCGGGGATATCTGAAAACAAAACGTGCTTCATCTAGAATAGTGACCTCATCACCATCTTCAAGTTCACGGTGTTTGTTTTGGCCCACCATTGCATCATTGACAAAAGTACCATTAATGGAAAGATCCTGGAGAAAAGCAACGGCATCGCCTTTCCTATTTTCCGAAAATACCAAAGCATGTCGATTTGACACAGTAGGTATATTAATCACCAAGTCTGGTAAGCTTAGTTAACTGTTTGTGTAAGAAAACATGATCAGGTTTCCTACCGCATTCAGGGTGTCGGCCTATCAGGTAGCCACTAGGTGATAAAGAATTCACTTGTTTACGTTCGGAACCCGCACTCATTTTCGCCGCCCCTTTACTGGAGTTAGTTGTAGATGCTGCGGATTTGCGCTCCTCGCATCCTCCGCGTTTCCTCAATACTAGAGGACGGCGGACCTTATCATCAAGCGGAAGAAGGTATCCCCAAACTCCCTCTGCAGCTTCGTCTTCGACTTCATCGGCAAATGCTCTAGGGGGATAAACAAATTGAGAAAGGGCTTGAGTATCGCTAGGAGGCGATGAACTAGCTTGCGGGAGTTCTGAATTTGAAGGTGTCCGCCGATGCGAACTTCGGTCAGGCTCATCTGGTATAACAGTCGTCTCCTTTTCAATGTCTGTGGCAGTTGATTCTCGTTGGGTCAAGGGTGTAGGCAAATAGGACTGATCGTCTAAAGCTTGTGCTTTGCTTTCGGGATTGTTCCTCTCTGAGCGTCGTGGCTTTTTAAGATCTTGTGAGTCATTATCAGCTGAGGCCTACATGTTTACGCCATCGTCAGTTCAATTATTAATGGGGAATTTAACGGTAATGACATACTCTGCCACGCTTGAGGGAGCTTTTTTCGTTGTGTGGTGCCATTGTATTGCCTGTTCGCATCCTATAAAGCACCAGCAGTCACAAGATCAGCTTGGCTTTCACGCCTCAAAACTCGAAAAATGGCATAGAAACCAGAGTATAAGCACTGGAATATTGCCAGGCCCTCCTATGCTTCGAGAGTGGGGGGAATGCTCAAGTGTAGAAGTTGAGGTGTATGATCACTGGAAAGATACGGTCGAGCAGACCAAAGGGGCAGGAAGAGAATGGAAAAAGATTATTTCACTGAAAAACCTAGATTGGCTAATGCGAAAGATAGACAGAGCGATCTATTGTAAAATAAATCAAGGCTGCAGTGTACATAGAAGTCGGTCACAAACAACCTTTAGCGTGTGGTACCTCAGCTCCCGGCATGGGTAGGTTGAACCGAGCTACACCTTCTTGGGTCGTCATTTATCATAAATACTGTCACCGCTTTCGACCCAGCACCCCTGGACATCGTATAAATTCGTGTGGATTACATTGGAAATGAAGGACATGCATGGTCTTGGATAATTAATATTTCGAGAATTTCTGCCACATAATTGGACTTAGGATGCTTGACTTAGCCCACATGTTCGAAACGGCTAAAACTTGGGTACTGTAGCACGTAGTTTGTAGTTGGCCTGTGGTTGAATCCGATGTCACTAGTTAACTAGCGAATAGAGCAATGCCGGCTTTAACATTGAGCGACTCTTAATCATGTTCGAAGCTGAGTACCAGTTGATATCGCGTCATGATTAGTAGCTGTATAAATTGTTATTTATATATGTACAAGCTTACACAATAGAAAGGCACAGCAGGACCTGAGCGGAGATATGGTATTTTATTAATCACTGCATAGGAGCATAGCGTACTGTTTGAAAGTGAAGACAAATACAACACTACATAAGATTCTCACTAGCCATTAAAGTTTCCGAAGGAAGCATTATGCTCTTAAAGGAGTATCTTCGCCTAAATGAAAGCAGAAAGTCACTGTCATGAGTGGAACACGATTCATGATTCAATTACAGAAGCGTTTTAAGGCCCACGTGTCTGCCGTACCGAGGTTCTGAGGGAACCAGCTCCCGTACTCCGCGGGACGATAACACATAATCTCCTATCAAGGGGCTCCCTGCTACCTTAGGCAATTGACATTAGTGCTCTGAAAAGCAACAGTCTATTCGTCACCACACGCATTCAAACGCGATAAACGCTAATTAGGTGGATTTATTCGGTACTATGGATGGGTAGGCCGGCTGCATATCTCTTGGGTAGAATTTGTGCTGATAGGAACCGTAGCCCCTCGACTATTAGAGCTTCGGCTCTGAATAGGCTTGCGGCATTAGCAGTCAAGGGACCAGAATGCGGCAGCGACTCAGACATCGCACGACTCGCCCAGCAGTCACTCTGTCCCGCTCACTCGTCGAACGATACCCTCAACGGTATCTTGCAAGCCCAAGCTCCTACATCACGGGTGCCTATGGTTTGTTGGCCCCTTTTCTCAGTGCCGCTTCGTAGGTGGCTTCTAGGCTGACCCCTTCAGGGCATGAGAGAGCTAGATGTGCTAGTTGCTCTATGTAAAGCGTCTCCTTCAGTGACCAATATCGAGCATGCTTCGAGACTAGTATCACTTTTGTCACAATACCTTCCCGAAGCGCATAGCCAACTTTTCCGCCCTTCACCCTTTCTTCACAATGTGAAACCTTCGCCTTGGGAGAGCCTAACTCATAACCTCACGCTGGCTCTCCTCTCCCTGGGTTCGAGCCATTCATCGCTGCGTAGTATCGTGGCTGGGGCTTTCAATGAGTATCTGAGCAATTGTGCCGAAGCTATCAAAGCAGTTGCACCACTTCATCACTACCAAGCGGAAGCAAACAGTCGGGATGCCGAACAGGAATCAACCAGCGTGCTATCGATATCCGCCTCTCTTGTCGGCTTCTTGGGAGCTTCGGCTGCACTCTCTTCATTCTGGGCTCCCAGTGAGAAGCTTCATTTAGCCAACAACCTGCGTTCGATGCTCTGCGAGCGGTTTTTGGTAGCCGTGGAGACTGCCTCGTCTATTGTACGGAATGGAAGCATGTCTGGTTATCTGCTCAGGGAGTGGAGAAAATACACTCGCCGTTATGATTCTGATGGGCGTCCTCTTGGTGCTATGTTACTCCAGGAAGGATTCATCAGGTTTCTCAAGTCATGCGTTACACGTGCGGCCGACATGAATGGCACATCAGGTGCCGAGCTTTCACACGATCACTTGCTTAACTTAAGCACCTCTAAAAGTTCTGATGACACAGAGATCGCTCTTACCGATCGGGTGGCGGCTATCATCGCTGATGAGATCCAGCTCTTAGAAGATGGCTCCGATTATCTGCGACTTGGCTCCCCCTGGAAGCAACGGCTTGCTTTTTCTATGAAGGCCCTAGCTTTAGTCGGATACCTGAATTGTATCATTCTGTGTGAAGATACAACGAACAAAGAAGACTTTGTTTCATGGCTAGAGGATACACTTATGGATCCGAACCAGATGGCTTATGCTGAATTAGCAACAGCGGTTCTGAAAAGCATGGCAGTTATTTCGCGAACTTCCATAACAATTGCATCCTCAGGAAGCCGCTCTTTGTTGAGATTCATCGTTGAAGGAGGTGCACCGACCGGTACCACCGGTTCCATTGCAGGAGAATGCCTTGCACATATTCTCGGTGGTCTTTCCCAAGATTCTGTTATTACCACTCTCTACTCCTTAGGGAACGTTCTGAGCTCTGGCTCAGGCACTGACAAGTCGTACCAGAGCCACATGCCTGGGGATAATTCTGCACATGGAAATACACCTCTCCCCATTCCAACGACCAGAACTGGCAGTGTGTTTTCGTTTTCAGCTGAAGACGAAGCAAATAATCTTTCGTACAAAAATGTCGTCCGAGCTATTGTACAAATTGCAGTTAGCTGCAATGATGAGAAAATAAGCGCTTTGGCGCAGTCCATGTTGCTGCAGAAAATTGGGAAGGTAAATGCTACTATTGACGCTTTCATCATTACGGAAACAGCTGCGATATCATTAAGTACTGGGCAAGCTGAATTTCAGCTCCTGCTCAAGTTTTATGATCGAGCATACCGTGATGGTGTGGCCAGGGGCTATAATAGCGTTACTGATGCTGTTAAGAGTGCATTGGCATATCTATCTATCACGTTGAAAAGAGACTCGCCACTATACGGTGTATACCTGGTTCACTTACTGGAAAATGTCGTAAACAAGGGTGATGCTACCGATCTCGAAAGTGAGAGGCAGAAGGAGCTTGCTCTTGCAGCGGACGAAATCAGCCCTCTTCTAAGGCCTTTGGCTTTACTCGTGTCGTCAGACAAGGAACAGCAGGATAACGCGGATACCATCACGGATTATGATCAGGATGTGTCTGCTCTATTCCGGGATGCATGGTTCAATATCGCGGTACATGGGATATCCATGCATTCGGCTGTTGGTCAAAGCCAATTTGAGGAGCTCCGCTTACTCGCCAAGCACTCTCCTCCCCTTGTCTCCGAAGACCGTATGGAGGCAACGGAAAGCGACGTTGAGCTGAACACAATCCTTAGGCGAGGAATGGGCTCACAACGCTTCCAAGAGCAGAAGCGAAATCTCCTTGCTGAACTCCCTGGCCACGAGGCCGAAACAAAGCGGTTAAGCTACCCACAAGTGGTTTTCCTCAACGCTACGATCTTGGTCGAAAAATTTCGTGCGCTGTCTGGGAAATGTACCGGGTTTCTTGATTACTTCCGCGACCCGGCCATAGCTACTACAGAAATGGCTAGCTGTATGAGTGCGATTGCAGAGAAAGTAGTGGCCAGTTACCTTTCGCTGACGATGTCCGGAAAGTCCGAAGGCTTTTCTGTTGCCTATCTATCAAGAGAGCTGGCCGGCTTCTTTATCGCTTGCAGCCATCGTGTTGAAAGGGTACAAAACGTCGCCGTACTCTGTGCTAACAAGATCATAAATGAATGTCCATCGGCACTGTGTGAGAAGCACTCCCTTTTCGCTTTGCTCGAGCTTTTGACCGTTATGTGGCGCTCATGTCTAGAAGGAGAGCTTGATGAGTTTGAATGGAATCCTTCATTTACTTCACCTACAGGGTTGGTCAAAGCCGATCTACCCGACAACTATAACTTTAGGAAAAGAACATTAGATGTTCTCCTTGAACGATCTAAGACATGGGTAGCGGCGGCCATGGATATTGCACCCTTGGATGTAAAAGGCCTACTTCAGGTATGATATCCAGCTATTTTGAGCCTTGGAAAGCGACTTACACAATTTGTCAAGACATATCTGTCCCTTTCGGACGACCATGCTGGATATGGCAACATTCTGTTGGGGCGCTCTTTTGCGCTTGAGATGGGATCACTCATCCCGAGCAGTGATCAACGTCTTGGTAAGACAACACTTCGGTCTTGAGTGAGCTACTGTTATTCTGATATTTCTATGTTCTTCCAGGCTCAATGGACAGCCACGGCCTAAGCAAGATAAATGTCGCTTCCGACTTCATTTCTCAATATTCCACACGTCAGAACTACAGAACTTTGTATGCACAAAGTGTCAGTGGCCCAAGGCAAGGAACTAGTGGGCTTTGTGGTTGGTCATATCTCAACTGGTGGGCGTTCAAGGTGCTAATATGGGATAACCAGCTCACAATATGCTTTCCGGGTCTTTTTTGTCTGCAAATACAGTCATGGAGGATACCCTGTATCAACTCTACGCACGATTGAAATCAGGAGAAGTCGTCCCTACCGTCGCCGTTCGTGATGCGCTACGGCAAGCTGCGGGCCTCCTATGCAGTGATAATGACCCTTCTGCTTTCCTTGCTCAGTACTTAGTCCAGATACCTTTTGAGATATTCTCGAAGGAGTCGATGGACATCGGTATATCCCTTTGGCTCGGAGTAATGCATGAGAATCCGAGAGTGGAGTCCAAAATCTTGGTAGAAGTTATCGGGTCTTGGGAAAAGTCAATCCAGCGCCGAAAGGGGCTGTTTGACCTAAACTGCAAGTAAGTGAATATCGTCTACTAGCACTTACTGAATCAATGCTTATTCAGGGGTACACAGCTACGTTGATCCAATGTTCAGCAAGATCGAGCTGCTCCCCAGCGACAAAGCTCTGATGGCGAAGAATCAACAAAAATCCCAAGGTATCCTAACACCTCATTTCCAGCTTCTTCAGTTCTTTGAAAGTCATTTTGCTGCTGTTCGGCTTGCAAACTTCCAGGTCAAGTCACTTTTCGGCCGTCTTGTTGATAAAACAAGTGTGGGACTATTGCACGCCAGTGGTCACCCCCTGGCCAGGGAACTACATTTTCGTATTGTCTTGTTCGGTCTAAGGGTATTGAAGGACTCCCGGTTACCAGACCGAAATCTTGAGTGGAAGCTTAAGGACCAGATTTTGTCCGCCGCTTTAACTTGGTTTAGACATCCACCGAGGTACGTTTTATCTGGTTACTAATTTCGATTATTCATGCTAAGCCTGATGATGTGTAGGTGGTCTTTCGGTGGCAACCGGTTACAGATCAAGGCCGAGGACAGGATCCTTGGCGACGTTTCTTCCGCTCTAGCGGATGTGGCTGGAGTTTCTGGTCACAGTCGCAGCTCCTCTAGGACGCTTCAGGCAAGACAGGAGCTTCTCCAGATCCTTCTGGAGGACGAAAGGTCACGCCTTAGGGTCTGGCTTTATCCCTTGGAGCCAGACCGGAAACATAACATGGCACAGTCAGCCGCAGTCAGAAATTTTACAGAGGTATGTTATCTCGTCAATAAGCATACTGTTCGATACCCGTGATATATATGGTTGTAACTAACAACCCATCCAGGATGCAACGAATCTGCTACGTCTGGCGTGGTCCGAAGCCCCAGGGTTGGCCATACATCTTTCCACCCGCTTTCCGTCTTTAAAGCTGAAAAACGACATCCGGTGGTTGGTGCTCAACTTTCCGGACAAGGCTATCGATGAGCCAAGTGCTCTTGAGGTCATTTTTGGGTCTGCTCTTCCTGCCGATGTCCATAGTCAGCTGAAGGTATGTCAATCGTCGTTTATATATTCTAGATTTTGGACTGATGAGGGTAGTTTCTTCTATACTGGGCCCCTGTCAACCCCGCCGAAGCTCTGACTTACTTTCTGCCCACCTACGGGAACCATCCCTTCATACTGCAGTATGCGATGAAAGCCCTCGAGAGTCATTCAGTCGATGTTCGTTTCTACTTTGTGCCACAACTGGTCCAAGCTTTACGATACGATGCACTGGGCTACGTAGAAAGATATATCATGGAGACAGCTAAGTTGTCTCAGCTGTTTGCGCATCAAGTCATATGGAATATGAAAGCCAACTCCTACAAAGATGAAGATTCTCAAATTGTGAGTGTAACCGAATGTTATCTGTCCATATACTTTTTAACGAGCAACATTAGCCGGACCCTCTCAAGCCAACACTGGACAAGTTTATGGATGCTTTGATCTCAAGCTTCACAGATGAGGAGCGTGAGTTTTATGAGAAAGAATTTTCTTTTTTCAATGAAATCACAGGCATCTCCGGAAAGCTTCGACCCTACATCAAAAGAAGCAAGGCGGAGAAAAAGGAGAAGATCGAAGAAGAACTCCGTAAGATCAAGGTGGAAGTCGGCGTATACCTCCCAAGCAATCCCGACGGTGTTGTTGTAGGGATCGATCGCAAATCCGGCAAACCTCTCCAGAGCCATGCAAAGGCGCCCTACATGGCGACGTTCAGGATCCAGAAAACAAGGGCACGGTCAGATGATGACAAAATCACCCAAAAAGCCGGTGATGGACGATCTTCGAACGGGGTTCAGGAGACCTATGAAGTATGGCAGTCAGCCATTTTCAAAGTCGGTGATGACTGCCGCCAAGACATGCTAGCTTTGCAAATGATTGCTGCTTTTCGGGGCATATTCGCTAGCGTTGGGCTTGATGTTTGGGTGTTCCCATATCGAGTTACTTCAACGGCCCCCGGTTGTGGCGTTATTGATGTGCTTCCGAATTCGATCTCTCGCGATATGCTGGGCCGTGAGGCAGTCAATGGTCTGTATGACTACTTTATCTCCAAGTATGGAGGGGAGGAATCAATCCGATTCCAGGAAGCACGCACAAACTTCGTCAAGAGCATGGCTGCTTATTCTGTTATCTCCTATCTCCTACAGTTCAAGGATCGGCATAACGGGAACATCATGGTTGACGACGCTGGCCACATCATCCATATTGACTTTGGGTTCTGTTTCGATATTGCACCAGGAGGTGTGCGATTCGAGCGTGCCCCCTTCAAGTTGACATCTGAGATGGTTGCTGTGATGAGCGGTACTCACCATGCACACACCCATCCAGGTAGCGGCTCGGGTAGTGGGCTCGGTCTCCCCGGTGGTGGTTCCCATAGCCCTACAAGCACGCAGCCTTACAAGTGGTTTGAATCACTGGTCGTTAAGGCATTCCTTGCTTCGCGTCCGTACAGTTCCAAGCTGTCTCACATCGTCTCATTAATGCTTGACAGCGGTCTTCCCTGCTTCAAGCCGGATACGTTGAAGAACTTCCGCGATCGATTTGTACTCGATAAAACCGAGAGGGAAGCTGCTGAATATATGCGCGAGCTCGTCCGCAAGTCGTACATGAGCGTTTCGACAAAGGGATATGACCAATTCCAGCTTCTAACCAATGGCATTCCCTATTAGGCCTCATGAGCTCTTTCTATACAGGGAACGCGGCGGGTGGGAGGTCCTGCTTTCCTGCCACAGCCCTCCCTTGCCTTTTTTGTTCGTTCCGCTTGGCTTTCATGCTACTCTTGGGGTATCTGCTATTCATAAAGATGGAGTCGATCATCCAACTCCTCATCAATGCAACCATTCCCATTGCAATTACTTCTCTTTTCAGTTAGGAACAGACGAGTGTCCAATCGAGGAGCAAGGATATATCAACACCCCTTATCCCTAACACTCTTTGTGGTATGCTTTCAGGTGAAGGGCAAAGCCCGAGTGGTGGCTCATCATCTCCCCGGAAATCAATAGTGACATCTGTGACCCATTCATTGGTTTACTTTGAGCTTTTAGATTACCTGCAATTCGATTTGCGAATACTTAATAGCCTAGGCCGAAAAATGCATATATGATGCCGTCCGGCACACATTATACAAGCAGTTATCTCTCATAAGAATCCTCGGTCTCGCAGTAGGCAGATGAATGTATGTATGGTATACACTTACCAGATCTTGCCTGCTATCTATGCATTCAACGTATGCATGATCGACTCGGAATTCCCCCTCCAGTCAAAAATAGATCAGGTTACTCACAGTAACTGATAGGTGGGTAGTCAGGCTCATATGGGAGCGCGTTCCCTTACAATCCTTTTCCACTTCCCTGGAGTTTCTTAAAGGGCGATATCAGTGATCATTCGCTGTAGCCAACTAGATGCTTCACCAAATCCTCTTTCCACCTTACCTACCCTGTCGTCTACCAACGTGGATTCTATTTCCGGTCTTTATGGCCTCCCTCCCCGTTCTTCCTCCCTTTTGGGATATGGGTAGTACTGGCTACTGATCTAATCTGGGCTCCCGATGGGCTGGCAATATATATATATAGTACTAGTCTAGCGGACGATGCACTAGGCGACCCAACAACCGAGTGGTCGTGCATCAATTATGTATGTACTACGGTTAACTAGCACCTGGAGTCATAGAATTTTTTGAAGTTCACGGCATTTTCTGTGTAATTAGATATTCACAATGTCCAACCGGAAGAAATCCTACTATGATGGAATTGGGTGTCTCATTCCACTAACCTCATCATGTATTTGTTCCCTTTCCATTGAATGGTCTTGAGCCACACCGACCTTGAGTCTATATAACAACATTCAAACATGAATGCTTTAGATGTGAATAATAAGCATGTCATGGGCTGGGAGGGGGAAGGGAAGAAGGGAACGGAAGAAAGGAAATAGAAAAAAAGAAAAAAAAATGATATTCTCTTTTGTCCCCAGGGAGGATCGAACTCCCGGCCTTGGGATTTCCTGAAGGTTGAAGCCTTCAAGTCATACACTTGCTCGTATGAGACCCACGTGATAACCACTACACCATGGAGACATGTGCTGATGAAAACCTGAAAAATATAGTGCTACATAAGTCTAAACATCATGCGTTTAATGTCGGTGTGAAAGATATAAGTGCTGCTGCACTAGCAGTCGCGGAAAGTTGCATATACACGGGTATCAACAAATAGTATCATATACTGTTGTTATATAATTCAGGCACTTAGACTCCTCTTTTAGGTTCAGATACTCCCAGAACATAAATCAGATTCAAAGTAACGGACAGTATCACATAGCAGGCAATTTGAGGGGCCCGAGGATAATAATCATAAGTGGGTCTGACCAGCAGGACCCAGAATAAATCAAATCATAAATGGAGAGAATATGATGAAATAATCCGCACGCGAACGGAATCCCCGAAAACTGATGCAGAGACAAGAAAATTCACGTAAATATGCGTGCTAAAGGAGATATTTGTTAAGAGTTTGTAGATCATGTCAACATTCATGCGACAGTAGGGAAATCCTTCCTGTCAAGTGACTGAGCAATCCATGAGATAGCCGCCGTGATGGGGCTGTCCAAATCAACCGTTTGTCCTTTTCTTCTTCTCTCTTTCTTTCTCTCCACTCCCCCCACCCCCATCAAGATCTCGCTTCTGATTTTATTTTTCTGGTCTTGTGAGAAACCTCACAGCTTTTCGGTGCACTTCCCAGAAAGGGGAGGACAAGGAAGAACTGAAACCAGACGCACAAAGCAAAGACGACATACAATAAGGGAAAGAAGGAGAGAGATGACAATAAAACAGCGGGTAGGCAAAGATGTTAGAATCAGAAAACCAGCCCTCAACCTTAGTCCATGAAATCACCCCGAAGGATCTTTTCCTGGAAGAAATCAGGCTTATTCTGCTTGGGCTGTTTTGGCATTTCTCGAGCTGGTTGTTCCATCGAGGCAATTGACGCAGCCCGCTGATGGTGATTCTGGTGACCCATATTGACTGCATGCTGGCTTTGAGGTGAATTAGGCGACATAACGCCCAAAGATGGCGCTCGCTCGGCCCGAGTCCGCAAGGCCTCAGACCAATTGAAGCCTTCGCCTACTTGTCGCCAAGACGCGTTAGACCTATCGTTCTGGGGAAAGGCTTTGTATGTACTTGCAACAGTTGAGTTTGTAGGGCTGGGGGCAGAGGGTGTGCTGGCCAACGACGAATTGCGCCGCCCTCCAGCCACCTGAGATGCAGAAGAGGGATATCTACCATTACCAATGCTTCCTCCACGGGCATCACGCAATGCCTGTGCACCAAAGGAGAGACGTCGAGTGAATGGAGAGCTAGGGGTGGCGTTGGGAGGCCCGTTCTCGTTGTCTTCCACGACGGCTTCCTCTAGGTTTGCCGAATTGGATCCCACGGAACTAGAGATACTCCCATGACGGATGTGTCGAGGTCCAAAGGGGGAAGTTTGGGTTGGAGAGCCGGAGAGTCCCAATGTGGTTATCGACAGTCGTCGTCCCTGATTCGGCTGACTGCCAGCGACTGCATTGGCCATGGAGCCAGGTGGTGCACCAGCAGCTCCTTGACTCCCAGATCTTGAAAGATAATCCGAAAAGGAAATCCCGGATGCCAGAGATGCTCGACGCTGGCGCGATGATGGGGGTGGAACCGAAATGGGAGATGTTGAACGGTCGTTTGACATGGTAACAGATGGGTTGTCGATGATCCCAGGATGATTATCACAAGTACAAGCACACGTATAGAAGGAAAAGTAGATGGACGAGGACAGGTAGCCAAGTATAAGGCGACAAAAGAAAATATCTAGTCTCCCCAGACAAGGGTACGACTAGGTGGAATGGGTAGTATATGTACCGAAACTAGAGTTACTATGAAGAAGAGTAGACTGGAATTGGAATGAGATATTGATGAGCCTTCAGATCGATACCGCAAGTTATGACGTCAATCTGGTAGCCGCTTCGATAGGGAGAGCAACGGCAGAGGCAGCAGAACAACCCCCATTAAGAGCCTAGATGGAGGTACCGGCGAATGTCAGCTGGAGGGAGATATTCAGCGAAGAACCCATAAATGGGACCTTCCATGTGGCGGTGGCAATATAATAAAGTGGAAATGGTTGGGGGGGCATCTTATCACGTAGGAACCGCGTACGAGCAGCAAAAGGAACAGAGAACCAAGAAAACTAGCGTTTGAGTGCAATAGGACACTACACAAGGCAGGATGCAAGTGTAAGGGAGTCCAGACTCAGTGCTAGTAGGGAACAAATAATAGATTGAACTACCGGTTTGTTATGAGCTAAGCCAACTTACTGGAGATATGCAACACCCAATGCCCCCCAATACCTGATATAGATGATGGTAGTGGTAAGGTGGGTAGTAAGCTAGAACTGTGAGGAATTTTGGTATTTGGTGTCTCTTGGATCAGATGATGGAGGGGAAGCTTCGTGAAGGAATGATTTGAAGGGGAGTGGTTGAAGTCAGTAAGCTTTAGAGTAGCCGTGGCTCGTGAAGAAGTGAAGAAGTGAGGAAGAGGGAGAAAGGGAAGAGGAAAAGAAAAAGAGAAAGAAAGAAAAAGGAGCCAGGCCGTAGCCGGCAGGGATCTTGGGAAGAACAACCTGACAAACGGTTGGTGATGAGGAAGGGGAGGAAGAAGAGGAGGAGGAGGAGGAGGAGGAGGAGGAGGAGGAACGGGATGATTCCAGTGGGAAGGGGAGGGGAGGGGGGAAAGATTAAGGGAGAGGGAGGGACCTTTAACAACAAGCCGGGGATGGGAAAGGAAAGGAATGAAAGCTTGGGAGGTTTTACCCCACAAAACCGTCTCGATTGACTCTTGACCGTGGGCCAGAACGGGTCTAGCCTTCTTGGGCAGGGTGCAGCTGAACGGTGAACCAGACAAGACGATCCGGGGTCGATGATTCATGAGTCGCCCCGTCCATAATCCTAGTAGACTAATTTGTAGACTAGCAATTGGAGTAGCTCCTACCTAACGTTGTACCAGTGGTCTGTTCTCTTCACAGTCGACGATCCTCTCGCCTTGCCCATAGATGAAGCTAGAGAGGAAGTAGAAGAAGAAGAAGAAGAAGAAGAAGAAGAAGGTTAGTATCACCTAGCACTGTTTTGGATGTTGTTTTATTAACTCAAGTAGGCAAGGGTAGGAAGGATGCGGCATGTTTGGTATGCATGGTATGCCAAAAGTAAATACCTTACTCCGTACTGTTGTTCCTTCGAAATATATCATGTAAACCGGTATGTTACGTAAGGGTATAACTCTGCATGTTCGAAGCGCGTATGTATGATAATACGGTATCCTTCCACTGATGTACGGATAGTTATTTTTATGATTAGTCTCTATATCCATTGCTTGTCCTCTCGATAAACAGTCTGCACTTCACTAGTGCCGTCCGTTACTGACCACGAAGCCTTTTGGGTTTTACCTACTCTTTTGTGGAAGTCACTATACTTATGTATATATTGATCTTCTTGTTCTGCGTTTATCAGAGCTGTGTCCGGAAATGCTGCCTACATATATGTATATATATAGATATATTGAGCTAGAAAGAATACCAATAGTTATATACCATGTGTCAAATCTGTACACTTTTTTTCTGCTTCCTTTCCTATATTCCAGACTATGTCTGTTTTTTTTTTTTGGTTTTGTTTTATTCTTCGTTTTTTTTTTTTTAAATGAATATAGCGTTCTATATAGTATGGCGTAGATAAGGTACGTATACTGTCTTACCTCGGCCACGGTGATTGAGGAGTTGTTCGTATACCTCTGGTCTTTGGCCAGTCCTCAGGATGTGTGTTTCCCTATCCGGAAATCAGAGGGCGTGTGGCCCTAACTGCAGACATACTCCGGGTGAAGCATGTCCACTTTCGACACACTCCCAGTGAGATGGGAAAGGTCCCTCGGGGCAGTACCAACTCAGGCTGCAACAGTATGGCGCCGGACGATTCGTTTTTCAGCATCCCAAACCATCTGTTCTCCCCTTTTCTCACACTCTGTCCCTTTCTCTTCGCCTATGCATGTTCAAGTCTTCCTCGCGGTGTTCACATTCCTTCTCAACTTTTTTTCTGAAGGATATGCATTGCGTCCTAGTCTTGAGGCTGAGAGTGGAATAACTGCAAAAGTTTCCACCCCACCTCCGGCTCGATCTCCGTACCGTCGCGAGCGATCTTCACTTCTCGGTTCGAGTTCCAGGGATTCCGCAACCCTCTCGTACGATGAAAAGGGACTCGTGTAGTCGAGAGCCATCGGATCCTGAACGGCTTCCCAATCAATTGTGCCCCCGTATCTGTAGCTTCTTCCGGTTTTTCGTGAATAACCTTCTCCTTCTCCTTCTCCTTGCTCGTACCGCTCTCATCCTCTGAGGTTTCCGCCTCCCAGAATATGGTCCCCCGCGCAGAGTCATTGATTATTCGTCCGTTAGGCGCAGTGGATGTTGCTGGAGTGGGCGTCACGTCTAGAGTCTCGGGATCCGGGGGGTTGTCCAACCGTGAGGGCATCTCCAACGCCAAGTTCTCGTCATCTTGTATCGGCGACATCATACGGGCATATCCATAATATTCACCTGACTTATTGGCGGAAAAGATGAGATAGACATCATCAGCATTCTGGTTGAGTTGTCAGCGACTGATCATTCTCCCCTACTAATATGGATATAATAGGTGGGGGCACAGAGCTCACCTCGTAAGCTTCGTTTAGCTGCTTCTCATTATGAGTTTGAGTGGCCCAGATGTTGTTCTGTCGACTGAGTTCGAGATCATCGACAGTTAAACTTTTGACTATGAAATATCTGCTAGGGACTCGACTGTGCGAAAGGCTACCTTCTGTAGCCTTGTTCTCAGTCACAGCGCCCGATAACTTGGTTTCTTCATCCTGATATATGGCAGGGGTAGAAGAACCCATAGCTTCAGCATTAGACCCCAGAGGAACAGCCCCCTGGCGTAGCCGACATACAAGACGTGCTCCATGGAATCTAGAATCGTTGAACCTTGACAATGCCGCGGCACAGGCGGCCTCCGTTTTGTAATTGATAAAAGCGCAGTTACTCTTCGAGATGAGGAAGACACTTTCCAGTTCCTTTGTGGCGTCCTGAGAAAAGTAGTCCTTCAAGTCAACGATATTGGTACCGGGAGGAAGATTGCCGACCCACAGTGCATGCCCAGATTGCTTTGGCTTTCGCGGCGGTCCTCTTGGAGCACTTGACGTAGTGGTATTAGACGAATGCGATCCTGAGTCTGGTGCACCGCAGTCATGTCAAAAACACATAACTCGCTTCTCGCATGGTCAGGCCCAGACTTACCAGCAGAAAATGTTTGAACAGGGTGGGGCCTCATAGGTGTTGATCCGTCCACGATGGTCTTTGAGACGTCATATTCCAGATCCAGACGCCGTTGCCTGTTTTCTTTCCCCAAGCCGGATGCCAATTTAGATTTTGGACCCGATGTGTTCCGAGGCTGAACGCGTGGTTGCACTTGCACTGGAGATGATGTAGTCGGAGGTCCCGGGCCGTGTCCAAGGGCTGCCGTGTATGCGGTCTGGGTGTAATAGTTCGGTCCATATCCAGATTGGCCAGGTATATGGACATTCATGTGAGCGGCTGAATGGGGCCCCAAGGACTGATAGCCCGCCGCACCAGGAGGCAGAAGAGGGTCCTCAGGTTGCTGCTGAAGATAAGGCGTGTATACCTGATTGAAGGGACCATTAAAGGCCATATTAGGATTTATTGGCGGTCCTGTGAATGACGGCAATGGCGGCATTGCGTAGACAACGCCATGAGGGTGAGCCGTCGGAACAAAGGGCTGCTGAATATGATGCTGCTCATAAAGGATGGAATGATTCTGATACCCAGGCAACGCGGATCTCATGTCCCGCATGCTAAGAGAGGGCGCCCCTCCATGTGCGGCCTGAGCCATCTGGGCCTGTGTTTTGGGATGTTGTTGTTCATTATCCGATCGAGGAGCTTCGCGGGAAGTGGTAGTTATCGACACTGAGCGAGATTTCAGTTCTACCAAAGATCCCACAGAGTGATTAATCCAGGTAAGATACATACCTGACTGTGGAGGAGGCTCCTCTACTTCATGCGACTTATTGAAGGCCTGTGGTTTGGCTCCGTTCGGACCCCCCTGCGTTGAGTTCGAGAGAGCCGAAGGAGCGTCACCATTAGGATATGTCATGATAGACACAAACAAATGGTAAACCCAGCACAGGCACACTCCTCTACATGATTAGTTGAGACATCTCAAATATACTGGGGGTGTTCGGAAGCCCAAGGGGGCTGGCGAGGAACTGGGGTGACAACTCACCTTGCCCCAACCTGTGAGTTCAAGCACGCTCTGAAATTTGAGGGCAATGATTCCGCTAGGTACCCAAGTGATTTGCCTAACTTATGCCAACACTGGTTAGAAGCTTGACAGTGCCATGTCAAAGGTAAATTACTTCCACAAAAATTCCAGACAGAGTGCTTTGCAAGTAAAAGGAGGATGAACGAAAATGTCAATAAGCGAGGAAAACTAATAGCCTGAGGCTGCGGTAAGAAAAAAAAAATAAAAGGGAGAATAAGAGAGAGGAAAAAAGATAAGGGAAAGAAAAAGAAAAGAACAAAATAGAATAAAAGCCACAAACAATAGGAAGGATCAATAAGAGGGTAGAAAAGGTCCCGAAGACTGGGTCGCGTAAGAGGGCATGGATAAGTGGGATTACTGACTTGTACAGACAAGAACGAGATAAAGAAAGACGTGGGATCTACACATGAATCAATAGAACAAAGTGAAGTAGATGAGGAGGATATGTAAAGCGAAGAAAAGAAACAAGTAGACGATTATAGTAGGATGAGCGAGCACACCAAATCACAAGGGAAGGCCCGCCTGACATCTGGGTGCTAAATCGTCGGGTTCTTTTTGGGGGGGAAACGGTGCAGTTGTAAGACTGGGTGAACGAAACACGGTGCCACTTTGTAAAGATGCACGCACGAATCGCCGCGCTGCCTTGAAGAGAGGGTGGAGAACGAGTCAAGCGTGGAAAGGATTATAAATGGGACAATTGGGTATCAGAGGCATAAAAAAAGGGGAGGGGCATAGGCGGCTACGCGCACAGAGGCACGGTGCAGGACCACGACCAGGAAACAATATCCATAGGCCAGGCAAGAATAAGACAGTATAAAATGATGTACGAGGGGGAATAAGACGGTATATAGCAGCGAGTTCCAGGCTCTTTTACGCCACGGAGACCGGAAAACCAGCGTCGCGGCGAAGAGGGACGTAGGGCACAAGCACTGCGCCGTAGTGGCCCTCCTTCACGCCAAAAGACGACAGGCCAATGCTAATTGAAGGAAAATAGGGTATCTGTCCCTCGAGCGCGTATGGCAGCCACCAAAGAAGCTGCTTTCTCCCGCCACCCGACAGTTTCAGAGGTATAGGGAAATTGAAAGACATTGGTGACTGTTGAGGTGGATGATCACAGGGAATTGTTGGGGGAGAGGCAGTTGATTGCGAAAGAGTGCGTTTCCCTCCCATGGGTGTTGAGCCAGGGGGTGGTTGGGTGAAATTGGAAAGTGAAGGGTAAAGGGAAATGAAACACTAAACAGTCCTGTGGGATCGCAACCGAAGGAAAGGAAAAAGGAACGGAAGAGGAGGGGGAGAGATAAAGACGACTATCGCCAAACATACCTTTGGTTGTGAACAGGCAGGGAGAGCGATGACAGAAATACCGTGCCCCCCACGATGATAACAGAAAGAGGAGCACCCTGCAATCAACAGTTGGTGGCTTTGATGTCGGTGACGGGAGAAATAATCACGATAATAATGAATAATCCTTGTGTAGACGCACCGTAGCCAGACCTGAAGCGGAGACTATGGAGAAGGAGGGCCCTCCAGACCAACCAGGTCAGCAGAGCCCAAGTAGTCCAACGGATCTTCTGACCGTCAGAGCTTGGAAGGGCAGGTCCTTCACAGCCAGGTGGGTAAAGAAGACTATCGGAACGGAAATGAGGGCAATAATGGGCCCCCCTAGGGACGTGTTCGTCAGAACCCAGGCCAGGTCTATACTGGTGACTGGCCGGTGGTGGCGCACAGAGGATCGTGAGAGCGTGAAAGCCCAATGATCTGGACTCCTGTCTCTCTGCCTTCCTCCGCCCTTCTCTCTCTTTTCTTTCTTCCCCCCTTTGTGGCTGTGGCTCCCTCCAGCCTAGAGGATATCCACAGTTTAAAAATCGGGGCTGCGATGCGGATCGGGCCTTGCTTCAACGCTTTTAGTTCTTTTCCCATGCAGAGGCCCAATCAACAACCACGCACGATCGACAACAAGCTCGATCCCGATCTTTTCCCGGAAATTCCACCCAGACGCAGGCAAGAACAAATTGTGGTTTGCTCGTACCAGGGGGTCCGGTGGGAAGAGAGGTAGCGAAAAAGACGTCGATGAAGTCAAGAAGCCACCAGGAGAAGAGGCTCTCTCGACTATTTTTGTTTTCGCAAATCCTCAAGATTTTGGATGCAAAAGAAGTCAAGCGTTTAGAGGAAGATTGAGGATGAAAAACGTACAATGGAAAAACAGGGGCTAGATGCACAGGGAAAGATAGCACGGGGAAAATCAATAACACAACCACAACTACAAGAAACAATCACAATAATCATAGTAATAGCAATGGCAGCAATTGTAGTGATGAGGAAATCAGAAAAAACATAAAATAGAATAAATAGACAATAATGCGAATGGAGAGGAGAGCATCCACACAAGCAAAAAAGAAAAAAAGGAAGGGGGAAAAAAAAGAAAAGGAATACGATGAACAAGATGGAGAGAGAAAGAGAGTATACTCCAATCACACTGAGCGGGAAAGTGGCTCACATCAGGAAAAAGGCCGGGAAAGGTGGCATGTTTTCCTAAAAAAACAACGAAACAGCCACATTAATTGAGGAAACGGGGACTGCGTCGTGCTTAGGGTTACCTGGATTAAATCTAAGGTCGTTTGGCAAGAGGGTGAAATGGACGGTCTCGATGGCATCGATGGCTTTTGTGGGAGGCCATGATTGGGTACCGGAATTCTGTCCCCAGCCGGTGGAATCCATGGATCTTCCTCTGACAGTTTAAAAGAGGGATTGCCAGTGATATTGCGAGGACCCAAGGGAACGCAGCCAACCCGCTTTGGTAAGATGAGTAGTAGGTAATGTTGTAGTAGATGACACTGAAAGGTGGCAAATTCGAGAGGGTCCTGCATGTCCTGGTTCCGAGCGTTTGATGGGCCTTAGCCCGAGGTGCATGCGTGGCAGTGACCATCGGGATTGACAGCTGCAGGAGATTTATAGCTCCAGAAAAAAGTTGATCTACAACGCGACACCATTCGGCAGCATGTGTCTTTTATTTCTTTTTAATTTTTTATTGCTATGTTCTTTTTCATTTTGCTTCTTCATGGTTACAGCTGCCCTTGGGTCTGTGTCGAAGGCGGTCACAAAGAAGACGGACTAGTAGTTCGAAGAATCGGCATTTCTTATTGGATGTTCGGAGAGTCCAGGCAGCGTTGAGATGCGTTAACAATCAACTTTATGAAGAGAGAATGGGGAGAAGCGTGTGGCGATTGCAGATTCCAGAAAAGTTACTAGGTAGGCAGGTTGGAGGTCTTCTTCCTTTTACCGAAAAAAAGAAGATGGCAACAACTAAAAATAATCATAGATAGAGAGGGAAAGAAAGAAAATGAACGTGAATGAAAAGACCAGATGAGTTTCGGGGGAAGACCGTTTGGGAAAGCGACATGCAATTACTTTGTAGAAAGGGGAAAGAAGTGGGGAGGAGGAAAGGGAGGGGTAGGGTGTGCAGTTTTGGGGGAAAAAGAAAGGATGGGAGAAAAAAAAAAAAAGTAGAAGAAGAAAAAAGGTAAAAGGAATCAACAACCACTGGCCCGTGTGCATACACACTTCTTCAGATTTGTTGTTCTGCTGTGTTTGGGGGCCGTGGAAGGATAGTAGCAAGAGAGCCACGGCCAGCCCTAAGACCAAACAGACTGGAGAGGGTGGGGAAATAAGAACAAGGCATTGGTGATACTGCGTACCGTGATTGTCGAAGCTCCAGACGGTGTTGGGATGGGTCACTCAAATCCCATCATGGTCCATGGCTCATTGCTATGCGGTATCAAGGATCGGTTCACCTCATAGCTAGTCATTCTGAAAGCTGATAGGAAGGGAAAAGGGGGGAAAGAACAACAGGGAGCGATGATGGAGGCAAAAATTTGATTGGGGGAGTGGTACTGTAAAGACAAGAAAAAAATAAATAAATAAAAAAATAGAAAATAAAAATAAAAAAATAAAAAGGAAATTGGTGTTTGTATTCATCTACTTTATATATATATATATTTTCTTTCTTCTAATGCCTTGGAATAATAGTATATAATAACGAATTCAATGAGATAGTAATCATATTGGATGATGATAGCGAAAGCTAACCTTAGTACAAAATAGTCTGCCACCTGACCAGGCAAGGGTACTACATTCCCACTAGGGCCCGATCTCCATCCCGCCCAGTGAGCATTACCTCCTACTACCTAGTACTGTGTAGAGCGTCAAAACAACCACTCCTGCTGCTCGGCTTTCCGCGGGAGCTGTGGCACGTATGCAGCCCATCCCTGCCACCCCCCTCCTTCTTCTTTCATTTCTTTTTCATTTCCTTTTTTTATTTTTTTTTTTTTCGCTTGTGGTTGCAGGCCCTGTAGGTTATGAAAGCATCTATGAGGATGCGATCAACATGCAGAATTCTTCTGCCTGCATTGTGGCCACAAAGTGGAAGCAGCTTTGGTTCTCTGAATTAGGTATACAATAAAGTATGGCAGTCCCATTCTCCCACACAGATCAGAACAAAGATCACTAGTACTGCGTAAAGATCATGTATCCAATGCAAGTGACAACCCAAGTAATGAAAACTCCGGCACTGTTGCCCTCTACGCAACGTACCAAGTACTCATATTGTTCTTCAGGTATCCTAGGTCAGCTACTCTACTTTTGTCGTCATGGGAAATTGCACTTCTAGTAGGTACCAAGATTCGAGATCCCCTCAATCTATGGTACTAGTACCAAGGACCTTAACCTTGGTTTTCCCGCTGAACTGGTTATACTTTATATATATTAGCCTGTTTCGCTTTCCACCGGCTGCTCCTCGTCGGTTCATTTTCCCGTCGCCTGGAGCTTCTGATCTCCCTTAATCCAATCTTTCCCACTCCCCACCCCTTCTTGTGTCTTATTTTCTCTTCTTTTACTCTTCTTATTTTTTTTCAATTCGATTCATTCTTTTACTTCCCCCCTTTCTTCTGTAGCCTTCCTTTTACCCGTACCTGAATCCAGCCCCATCCTTCGAAACACAGTCTACTGCCTATTCGGTATCCGGAATCTGTGGCGCCGCATGTACCGGAGTATTTCGTACTAGCAGTGCTTCGGAAGGCTCCACATCTGATTTGAGGGACCGGATGGGATACCAGCCAATCAATGTAACACCACTTCAACTTCATCTCGTCCTTTTCCGGAAACTCCTTGGTCCAATCCGAGCCGCCACCAGCGGCGTGGCTGGGTCCTTAGCATATGTCGCGGTCAGCACCATGGCAAAACCCCCCACTATCGAATACTTTCCCGAGCTCTTTCTCTTTTTTCTTTTTCTTTTTTTCATTTTCTCTTTTTTTTTTCCTTCTAGCCCAGGCGCCTCTTCTGCCGGGGCCACTATGTCGGCTTTTTTTTTTTTCTCTTTTCTTTCTTTTCTTTCCCCTCCCCTCCTCTCTTTACCTTTTTTAGTTTTTCGGGGTTTGATTCGAAACGGTTGTATGAGTCAAACGACCACAACTAGTAGGTAAAGGTCCCAATGATCAAGCCCAGGATGGGAAAATGGACGAGTTTGCTAGGGTGCAGAAGTCTGGCGCAGGACCAATGATAGGTGCAGGAGGCTGCTGACGACAGTGCTCCTAAGGTCACGCTAAGCGGCAGCATTGTTGAAGTGGAGATCGCGCTGCCTTTTGCGACCTGTGACCTGAATTCACTGAAGTCGTTGAAGCCGTTTTACTCTACGTGGTAGAGTTGGAGGGAAGAAGACAGCAAAGCTTCTTTGAACCCCCTTTGGCCCTGCTAGACACTTTCATGCGTTTTCGTACATGGCGTGTCCTTCAATTCCAGCTCCGACCGAGAACCGTTCCTGAGAGGCAAGGAGACTCAAGGGAAGGGACGATCTTCTGTATAGGCTATCTTAGGCTAACTTACCATCCACCAATATCAATACCGGAGCGTGTGCCAAGGGCAACTCTTCCATTAGGTTGTTTTCTATAGGTCCTTTGGGATGCCAGTCAACACAAAGCTACTGTCCGATGGGTGACAGACTACTGCTCCCCTGGCATTGTTAGAATGCCTTAATGGTGCCCAAATGCTTAGTACTCTATCAAGAGCTGATGTTGGAACCGAAGACCTCTATTCTGTACCTATCCCTCGGCATCGAGATACAATATCGGTATGCACACCGATAAGTACACAATGTTCACGCTTGATGCGTCAGGTACTATTCGCGTGATTACCGGTTCAGATACTAGTACTAGAAGCCCCCAGACTGGGTACTGTTCCTATTTGATACGTACCACAGGGTATCTCGTCTCGTAACGATTTGCACATGATAACCACCTCAATTACTAGATAGGCGTAGTATCGCTAGTATAGAATACTCTTTTTCTAGTGGAGAGAATCCCCAGTTCCAGTGGAAACCACACATTCTCTTCGCCAGCGAATGCCCAGTAATCCATGGCATCAATAATGTCGACGCCCTTCTGATGTGGGAGATATTCCCGAGAATCGAGCGTTCCAGAACCTCCCCAACAGCCTCAAAGATTTCAACAACGGCAAATCAGCAGCCGCCCCTAAATACCTAGCTACTTTGCTACTATTTGCCTCGAGCCTTCAGGGAGAAAAAAAGGGCGAAAAAACAGGGCAAACAAAAGGGAATATTAGTCACTAGGAATTTTACTATAGGTTTCACACAGTGTCACCCTTCACCAAGCCATTGGCTCGTTCACTTTAAGCTGTGTAATCACTAAGCATGCTTCTTCGGCCAGCTTTGCAGAGCCATCATGCATGCTCCAGCCAGGTAATGCACCCACCCAGGATTTGAAGGTCCTAATGCCCTCTCCCCATTTTTGGTATTTGATCAGTCTGCTAGAGAAAGGGTTTGAGATACGCAACACAGGGACTGCACCCACTTAGAGTATGCGGATTCTTCATCCGTCTCGGCTATCATTCTGTTCCCGCTATTCGAAGTTGTGAACTGTCACGACTATCACTGCCATAAACCACCAGATCGATGGAACCATTTCGGCCCATCCCAGGCCAATTTCGAGCTATGCACTAACTCCTGTTGCATTAGCACGGACCCATTCAATCTCGATGAGGCCCCATTCTGTCGACTGTGCCTGGTACCTTGCTATGGAAGTATGGGTGGTGGATGATGATGCGATGGGTATACAACGGTCTCAACAGTGAGTGTGATTCCTGCACATAATGTACACCGTATGGCATGATCGATCAATCTCCCTCTCAGAAAGGGGGGGTAAAAAGTGGAATGGAATTTGCCACCCAAGAGGAGACAGACAGGTGGAAACCACTCCATCATGGCGGGGATTGACATGGGACTAGCCAAGTGGGTAATGCATGTGTGTGTGTGTTTGTGTGCTGCGTGTGTGTGCTGCGTGTGTGTGCTGCGTGTGTGTGCGCGTAGACTGACTGACTTGAATGCATTATCCAAAAGCACACACCACAAAGGAGCTCTCCTGCTGCCCACCCCCCTGCTCGGCTTGCAAACCACGGACCATCCAAACAAGCTCCCCCTCCACCCCAATTCATTTCGTCTTTGCCCCAATTCAGATCTCGAGATCATTCCCGACCAGGTGAGGGGGTTTTGGAATCTCATCGAAGGAAAAGATTGACCGCGATCGTCCGTTTCTTTCCACCGCGGCTGCCCTCTTGAACGCCACGCCGAAAGCTAATGAATATGACGTCATCGAATGCTCTTGAATGGGGCCGCGAACACCTCGCATCCTCCAGCCTTCTCGTACCCCCTCCTCTACGGCCTCTGTTGATTCGAGCATTCGGAAAATGAGAAATTGGATGTGGGATCCATACAGCCACGGCGCCGGTACCTCTGTCTGACTATGAATAACCCACCAATTGGTACCGGGAAAAAGAGTACACAATCTTACCACGGGACGAACGATCCGCTCATCAATTTCATCATCGCCCGACTAAATCCATATACATGGCCCTGAATATGCATGACCGCATCCGATCCGAGCCTTAGGATGGAAAGTCTGATTGTGGTACACAGCACACCCAGATCCATCGCTGACTTCTGCCACCAGCATGGATGCCGTCTCCAATTTCGCTAGTATCTGCGTGCACCACCCCATAGCACGAAGTCCCAGGCTGGTCTCCACAAACGGGAAACGCCATCTCGCCAGCTCATCCCCTTTAAGGTATTCGGCGCTGCGGTGGCTTGTGTAGAGCTACTGCGATCGGCCAATGGGGCCGTCGATGGCTCTGTGATTCGCACGAGGGGGTTCAGATAGTGATGCCTGTCGCCGACATCATGCGCGCTTATCAACTCGGCTCGGCGGCGGCATGTGTCCCTTCATCCGCCAGGACCGCCAGACAGGAGGATCATCCTCATCCTGTCGGATACCAGTCACACCGAAGAACACAGGTCAACTACGGTGGCAAAGCACATTGCAGAGGCTGTGCCAGCTGATTACCACCCCCTGTTCAACCAGAATTCCCATTTTACAGATTCGAGTGCGCAGTTTTCTCTCATGGGTAAGGGCTCCACTGCTACTGTGTGTAGTCATGATGCGATAGGTTCTTTCTCAGCCGATGTCTTAGTCTTCGTTTTACGTCGCATAATGTTCTGCTCACCATGTTCCACCGATTTGCCGTGTTTTTGTGCCACTTCATTCTCGATGGCGTTGGATTCGGCCGTCCGGCCTTCCACCCATCCAAAGGACGAGCGCCAATTGGCCTCACCCTCTAAATATGGTGGCCGCATGGCGAAGTCCACCCCGTGCGTGGGATATTGAGAGGCGAGAGGACCGCTCTCCATCTAGTTTCTCATTGGGAGGGTTACTCTCACGTTCCTTACGAGCCATGGTCAATGACGGGCACGCTGCGAACTTTCTTCTACAAGCCTGACGGAGATTAGATCTTGGCTACTCCGGTGTATACTCGGCATTAATGTCTAGAGGCTCATATACAACATGGATGCTCATTGTTATCAGCATAGCAGAACAGATTCTGGTTCTAGGTGGGTGAAGAGCTCGAACATGAGCGTACGATGCCGGGCCAGCCGGATCTTGCTCGAGTTTACGCAGCACTTCGAAGATGAAAAGGGACATCAGCTGACCAAAGGCGATAGCCAGCCTGCAAAATGAAGGTTGGGTGGAATGAAAAAGGGTCCGAGAGAAAGAAGAAGATGGAAGGGAAGCACAGTGGATAGTGGTGGGAGAGAAAGGAAGTAAGACCAGGGGTACACCCCATGCGTCAGGGAGAACATATCCACAGAAAGTGACAGAAAGACTAAGTGAAGTATATTGCATACCGACAAGAGCATACTGTCCGCCGGCAGCTATGCAGACTGAAAACGTCTCAAACAAGAGTTTCAACATCACATCGTATCTACTTGAGCTTCGTTATAATTACTATTAAGGAATAGCCCCACCAACATGCCTGGGAGAAAGGGCTCATGATATAAAGTAAGAATAGCACTCACGGCGAGGACTTGCTAGCGGTCAATTCCCAAGGAAGCAACCTTTCCAGCAAACCTGGCCCCAGCACTGCCCCTTTTCTGTAGTTTCTCGCGCTCCTTACTGTCTAAAGAGCTCGGCGCTTGGGTTGTCGGAATGACATGGTCATTCCCTGCGCCTCGAATTGCAGATACTGAACCGAGAGAATCGGGGGTAGCTTTCCCAGGTGACGGCGCAGCCGGAGGCGAGCCGTAAGCAGATACTCTGGCGGTTCTTTGGCTCAGATATAACTGAGCGGCCGATGAAAGAGGGATGGGAGGAGGTTGCGAGGGAATCTCGGCCCCGTTCTGGACCAGTAGCTCTGCGATAGGGAATGGGATGGCCTTCACTGTAGGCGCCCCGCTGGGTTTGACCGAGAGGTTTGAGGCCGCACCAGGCGATGCTGGATCCGCTGCGGCTAAAGCAAGAAAAATGGCATGAGTGCTGCGAGAGCGATCGGTGATGTTCACATTGGCACGAAGGGCAATTCCATATAGCACGCCCTGAATGTCATTCCTTTTAATCGCAGCCAGAAGAGTCTCGTCTGAGGTAGTGAAACGCGACAAGGGAGATGGAAGTGGCTGAACAAACGCCCGTTCACTGTACTTGGCGGTGATGAACTTGAGCCGCTGCTCACGAGTAGAAGCCGCCACCGGCTTTTGAGCCTGATCGAGGGTTGCCTCCCAAATCATATTGCTGACACGGTTACCAATCTGCAACAGAATTTCAACGATATCATTGGAGAAGGAGTTGACATCCAGTGTAAGCGAACGAATCTTGGAAATGTGAGTTCCAAGTGACCGGTGGATACCACTGCACTCGATGCAGAGCACAATCCCCAGGTTGATTGAGACCCATTCAACCTTGGATGTAGACCCGCAGTCTGCACACCAATTGTTGCCCTGGTCTGCGTCTCGGATGGTTTGAAGCAATTTCGAAGGATTTTCCTCGAAACCGAGACCGTCACCGCGTACGTAGCTTGGTCTCGCACCCACAGTTGTACGACGGGTGACACTGTTGTTAGACCCTGTTGAATGGGAATGTTGGACAGAGTACGAAGTACTCTTTCCAGTGAGTACTGAGCCAATATCGCGGCCAATGGATGTGTTGTCATTGCCGGACGAGACTGGGGGTGGAGACATGCCGCGGCCCTCAACGGCGCTCTGCAGAGCATTGTTGATTGCTCGAATCCAATTGGCCATATCTTCCTCTGATGTTGCTTGATAGATGCGCTTGTACTGCGGTGTGATGACCTCGAAACAGAATCGGCGCTCCGCATTTCGGGCTTCTCGCACGGAAGCCATTCGCAGGTCGATAGGATCCATGTGCAAGTCCAGTTTCTGTTTCCAATTGCTATACTCCGAGAGCTTCCCCTGATCTAATACGATCCAGAACCTAAGAGCCAAAAATCAGTTTGAAAGCCCGAGTTTGCTGGAATAGGGGACAAGCTTACTTATGCCAAGCCTGCTTGTTTATTCCCTTAGGGTCAATATGAGACCCTGGGCGAGACAGTGCCCAGAGTAAGCCTTCCTTCCTCTGCTGGCCTGTGACGGTACCGGTCAGTGATCATAGTAAAACACGACTCAAAAAAAAAAAAAAAAAAAAAAGGGTGCACGCCTCAGACAGACACCAAAGGATGCATACCGGTTGAATTACTCGTAGAAGCGAGCATCGAGGAACCGCCTGGATGGTTGCCAGAGTTGGTTTGCGGCAAAATCGAAGAACTGTTGCTGATAACACCTCGCAGTTGAGATCCTGTGCTATCTGCACGTCCGAGCTCGATCTCAGACTTTGGGTTGCCGCCACCATTTCCTGAATGTACCGATGATGCACCCGCATTGGCTAGAGAGTCAGGCTCGATATACATGTTGCTGCTTTTCTCCAGATTCCTTCGCTTTTCTTCCCTTTCTGTGCGTTGAAACTGGAATTCCTTATCGGCTTGATTCACCTCATGGATAAGAGCATCAAGCTGAGGAACCATATCATCAACCTGCTTGGCGGCTGCCAGGAAACTCTTCGCCTGAGTGTCTGCATACTTAGTAAGGTGGGAGAGAACCTCCTGCTCCTTACGGCCACCATGGAGATCCTGCATGAAGGACGAGTAGTCGAAACGCTTCAACTCGAAGTTGCGTCGCTTTGCCTGATACTTGGAATCACTTTCCACTCGCTTTTTTTCCTTCAACGAATCCTGGCGTTGACCGAGATAGCGGCTAACATAGGCGTAGTAATCTCTGCTCTCTTCCTCGAATTCCTTCTTCTTCGCCTCCGCCTGTTTGATGTCATTGTTGTATAGCTTAACCAACGGTTCTATGACAAGTCTCTGAAGCTGAATGGTATTCAAGCGTTCGTAATTCAATATTTGCACTGCAGTTCTCTCAAAGTAATGATCAAGCGCAGGCTGTATGGCGTTCGCGTTAGAGGTTGAGGCCTCTTTTAATGCGGAGAGGAAGGCTTCCACGGCTTCGTTACAGGCAGTCTGTGCCTGCTGAGCGGCTTCAGCTTTCTTGAGGACCTTCTTTATCTTAGCACGCATGTTCCCTGTCTTCTGTTCCAAGGCTTTCATCGTAGCCCGGAATAACGGACCATCCTCAACCACGCTCATGTCCTCGCCAGGACGCGAATGAGGAAGGTCGACTTTGACAGGCGGAGGCGGTGCTGAGACGTGGGGCAATGTGGCCGATGTATCACCAGCTTCCGGGGGTGTAACAGGGACATTCTGGGGATTGGAAGCGGCGTCCGCGTCGCTGGAATGGGAGAGAACGGACTGTGACGAGGGAATGCGATTGCGGAAAGGGACGTTAACTTCCAAATTTGGCGAGGAAACTTGCGGGCTTGGAAGCGAGCGTATTGTATTATGCACCCAAAACGAGAAGTGAGCAAGAGTGTTCAACCGATTCGCTCTTTGATCATAATCTAGAAAGCTGCAGCTGTTTCTCCAACCACCTCCCTTATCTTCTACCACTTTGGGGGGCTTCCATTTCCAGGACCAGTCAAACTGAACCGAAGGACTACCCGCGGTAGAGTAGTCTCCGACTAGCTGTACATTTGAATTATTCTGCAAGTTAGGGTTGGCATGGAATTCTCTGGTAATCAAGTTGTCCAGTTCTCGTGAGTTGGGCGCATGCGCAAACGTAAGGCCTGTAAGCACCGTGTCGGCGACTTCGGGCAATGATGTTGAGACGCCGTTAACGGTTGAATTCGCAGCGTTTCCCGTCTGTGTCTGTCTCAAGATGAATGTGAATTTGAAATTCAACTCGTCTTCGTTGTTTAATCGCAGGAGGAAGGTGGGGACAGGGGCAGACGGCGAAACATCGGGATCCTGATAATAATCGACGAGAGCAGTGGTTAGTTACTGACAGGACATGACAGGCGCAAAGCAATGGCGACGGTCTTAGGCGGGGATCCAGCTAATTACCTGAATATATTCTATTGGGCTGTCGTCGCCGGTCTCACGCTTGGCAGTATATCTCGTAGCGGGGAACGCGTTCGGAACAAGGCTTAATAGCACGCGCCGTTTGGAATTCGTTATGGTCACGGAAGCGATTGTGACTAGTAGGCGGATATCTGGTTAGCAATGAGAGAAAGAGAAGAAGTCAAGGGCAAAGACAAGAACAGGACAATATCAAGGGCACGAGCATTTGGCATTAGCGCCGCGTAGACAGAAACTTACACCTTGTCTGATCCTTGAAGTACAAGTTCCCAGAGTCATCTAGACGGCTTCCAACATTGCCCATGGTGAAGTTGCTGGGGCTTTGCTATGGAGATCGAATTACCACGCGGGAGAGAGGTCAGAGACGTGACCGGGGCAGTTGAAGGTCACCATCGACAGTCAGCGTGCCCGCAGTCGGATCAGAGGCCGGCCTGATGAAAAACGGACCACTCAGTAGACTACTGGTCGTCATCCAGGCACAAATGCGATCGCCAGGGAGGCCGTAGTCAAGCGGTTGGCCGCAGATTGGAGCGCGAAGAGGGTCGGGGAGGAGATTCAGAGGGAGAATATGCGGGAGTCAGGAGGAGGAAGTATCAGGTGGTCGCGGGCGGAAATCAATAAGGGCGACAAGCGGGGGCAGGAACGGGGGAGGTCTCGTTGGCGGTAATTAGCCCGGATGACCCTCAGCGAGAGAATAAATTACTATTAGGATTGGATTGAATTGAATTGGATTTGGATGAAATTATGTCGATTGATGGAAGAGCAAGGAAGAATGAAGGAGTGAAAGCGACGACGTGTACGATCGCTTTATTACGGCGTCGCAGTAAGAAAGATGGTCATCATTATTATTAGTAGCGGGAGGAGGGAAGTAGTTTTGGCTTGTTGACTTAGTTAGCTTTAGTTCACCTTTTGGGGTGTATGTAAGACGGATGAAACAGGCGGGCTGTAGAAGAGAAGACGGAGAGGGAGAGGAGAACTAACTACTAGTAGATAGGATAGTTAGAGCGAGGGGGGCTGAAAATCGGGGCTGGAAAGCCTGAGGTATGTACGTATGTATGTGTGTATGTATGTATGTATGTATGTAACATCATTGATCCGATCCGAACATCTTTTCTATTCTACTATGCGAGAAAAAAACAAAAAAGAGATCTCGTAACTTACTGCATTATACCACATAACTGCGACACCGCCCCGTGTTTAAATGGATGAGATTTTCTTAATTTCTTTTTCCCTCTTTTCTGTTCTTCTCCTCCCCTCTTTTTAGTGAATAGATAAGTTTTACTATGTAAATACAACTATAACTATCTACATACGTCCGCGGGGTTACCATCTGACACCTCACAACTAAAATGTATGCTGTGCAGAATACTAGCAGCAGATAGATAACTAGTAGAGAGGACCATGCACAGGGGCCGAGATTGGCTCGTGTTCCTTTCCCCCAACTGTGGGGGTGTGTTGATCTGACTCGTGATCTATTACCTTTTCTACCAACTACATACATTATAAGTAACCTGGTCCACGATACCCACCATCACACAAGCTATAACCTACACACGGGCTCATCTGTCCAGCTCTCATCTTCGTGATATGTAGCCCTACTTTGGGCCACGCATCTATTAACAACCAGTCCCAGGTTTGACGGCTAATGTAGGCAGTGATGAGTATTACAAAAAAGGAAAGAGGCACGGAGACCCCCTCACTCAGCATTATTCCATACCAATTGAATAATAACCCCCGTAATCTGAAGTTCTGGGGCCTATCGACACAAAAACCAGCTGCACCGGCGTATTACAAGTTATCGTCAGTAATGATACTCGGGATGGAGTAAAGGTAAAAAAATAAGAATAGAAAAAGAAAAAAAAAAAAAAAATTAAAATTGAAAAAAAAAGAAAAAAAAAAAAAAAAAAAAGGAAAAACGTAAGGTCATCCATGGAAGCATATTAGGACGAGGTCTTTCACCACGTGAGGTAGGGTGGACTCCCTAAGGTTATAGGTAAGTTGTTGATGTAGGTAGGATATGGAAGAATTAATAAACTCCACAAAAGCCCAAGTTGAGCATGAATGGAAGCTAAATTCGGCCGTCAGCGAAAGTGGCTGTGCTTTCATCCAAGCCATTCTCCACGGCGGGGTTTGATGCTCCTGAGCTGTTCGCTGCCGCAGTCCTCTGACGCCCAGATCGACTCTCAGTCTCATCTGGATTGCCATGGTTGTCTGCCTGGGCCCATTTCATCATTTGACCCTTCATGTCTCGCATATCGTGTACCTTTTGCGCAAAGCCGTCCCTTTTATGAGGCTGCGACTCACTGCGCTCATTCAACTCGTCTTCATCTGAACTGGATATAGAAAGCGAAGAGCTATTGCTGCGCTGGAGGAAGATCATATGATTGCCCTCGTTCTTCTTGAACTCCCTCTGCTCATTCTTCAGAACCTCCATCCGCTCTGCATCGTTCTTGCAATCAAGTGTAGTCACGTGAAGACCTGGTAGATTGGTGGAGATGAGCTGTTTCAACAGGGGTAGGTATTCGCCATTGGGACGATAAGTTCCGCTATCATTGTCGATGAAAAGTTCATAGTCGGCCGGATCAGTTGATATCTCTGGTTCTACCAGCGACTCATCACCGGAGTAGTGTGTTTCCGAATGCTGAATTGTTTCCGGGTGTCGGGGATGGCGATGCTTCAGGCGACGCAAGAAGAACTCACCAGAGTATGCAATATAAATCGATACATCACTATGCATCGTGTGTTTACTCAGCAAATCAATTCCGAATTCCTTCCCTGTTTCCGTGAAGCGCAATTGCCCGTCTAGGGTGATGACATATGTAAAGATCCTCCCGCCCTGAGCGTAGTGCACAAATTCAAGAAACTTCTGCGTGAGCTCGGTACAAGGGGAAGAAAACTGTCCACTGAGGGTGGTCTTGTCAAAGTTGTAGATACGTTCGTGTTGATGATGCAGCGCTCGATTGAGTATCCTTCCACGAAGACTGTGTGACGTGAACATCCCGGCTACAAACGGCTTGAATTCGACATAACGATGATAGAGCGCGGTAGGCACAGGGCCCTGGAGCTGTATTTGGATTGCCTGAAAACTGAACAGAGAGACTGTAAGCGTATCATTTTCTTCAAAAATTTTAGGGCAGGGCGAGGAACGAACTTATAGCGAGTAATGGTCTTCTTCTCATCACGCTGACTTTGGACCTTATCTTTAGTGCCGGCTATCCTCCCAATGAGCGGAGAAAAATGCTTGAACCAGTAGTTTGGTCCAATGGTATACATATGAGCCCCTTCATCTCCTGGTGTCTTCCCTAAGCACTGAACGCTGATTACTATATGCGACTGCACATCTAGACGTCGCGACGCCAGCGCAGCGATGTTACCGAACAAGTAGACCCGCTTGCTGCCCATGCGCTTCTTCAGGCGAAGGCTCTGCTCCTTTATGCCGGGCCACTGTCCATTGACCGAATCCACGTCGACATAAGCGTTACCGAGTTTGTCGTCATGGTCCGCAGCGTCTTCATCGTACACATGACATTTCAGATGGAAACCCGAGGCCGGGACATTGGCAACGATCCATTCGCTGTTCCATTCCGGATCTCGATTTTTGCGCACAGTTGGTGTTCGGAAGGACATAACGGGGTCCTGCTTGTGGCGTTGGGGTAGGTCGACAATCAATTGGGCGAGAACATAAGGGTCGGAAGAAAATGTACCAAAGTCTGCGCAAGGAAGGTTGACTCCACGATGGAAGGTGAATTTCAGTGTATAGCCGGGTGGTGCATAGGGGTACGGAGTGCTATCGAACCCCCCAGCAGGCTCTGACCGAGACGGGTCGTCACCACTCAGAGCAGCCTTCATAGCGGCAGCCCGACCCTGCATGTGCTCGGACTTGTCATAGAACTTTGGGCCATATTTATCGACTGGATGCCGTCGCCGTGTTCGCGGTTGGGGGTCTTCCATGATTTGGGGGCCAAGAGTGGTGGCAATGATGGTGGGTGGTCGTTGTCGCTCCTCAGTAGTTACTTTGGTTGTTGCCTGTGCGAGGTTTTGCGATCAGCGGACAGGCTGTCTGTCGCGTAGTGGCCAAAGTAAATAGGACGGATATCAGACGATCGGCAGGTTTAAATCGAAATAACCCCCCCTATTGATGTCAGTGATAATGGAGAGCCCCGAGTGATAAAAATTGCGATCCACACATCCCGGACTGGAAATGGGGAAGAGGGAGAGAGATCCAAGAGATCCAATGGTGCTTGGCATGCCCCCTAGTCTAACCCCACGGGATGGAGATTGGAAGTTATGAGTCTACGCAAGCCTTGCAAGGCTAAGGCGGTTCCGTAGCTTTGGCCGGAGGGCGGCTATGACGATGGCGGAACACGCGGACCCCGACGGATAGGGCAGAGAATAGGAAGGAGAAGAGCGCATTCGAAAAGACTAAAAAGCAGGTTGGAGGCCCCTCCATCTATCTCAGAGGCCCTTCAAGTGGTTTGTCTGACATCATTTCAGCGCCCTACAGGGATGTTTGTGCAAGGGAGGTACGTAAGAGGAGACACGAAAAGTACCAACCAGCATGTGGTACGGTGTACTTAGAATAGAACGACGACCACGGAGAGTTCAAGGCAAAATGCTCTGCAGAGGATTTGTTTGGTTGACCCCCAGGGGGATCCCGAAGCTAAAATCTCGTACTAAGAAAAGAAGAAAAGAAAAAAAAATTAATAAAAAATAACCTACTCGTACTGGAGCCCCTCCTGCTCTTTTTCTTTTTCTTTTTTCTTTAACTGCGTAGAGTATATACCGAGGCTCCAGAGCGTAATGTAGACTTCATTAAGATATGAGATCCGAGATTGTACCTGGACCCTCCCTCCCTCTCTCCCCCGTCTCCCAACTCCAAGAACGCCGTCCCAGTTATTTAAATTCCCAGCAAAATCACAAAAATAACCCCCGCTATGATCTAGTCACTGCCCTCCACTTATGCCCCTCTGTTCTGTTCTCTTAACTAACTTACTTAGCTATACCTCTTAGGCACTCGTTCCCCTTCTTCCTTCTTTTCTCTACCCCTCCTTTGCCTGACCTAACCTAAGATCCTCTGAACAAGAATTGCATGTCTTCCGGGGTGAGCTTCTCTAAAGCTTCTCCTTGATCTTTGTTGATGGTACCGTTGATCAGGTTGGCCTTCTTTTCTTGTAGCAGAACAATTCGAGATTCTACCGAATCTTCAATGCACAAGCGAGTTATGACACAAGGTCGGCGCTGGCCGATGCGATGGCACCGGTCTGCACTCTGCCATTCAGCAGCTGGGTTCCACCACCTAGCACCAGTAGAGTTAGTGAGGGAGACATTCGTTTCCGTTGTTAGTCAATGCCACTTACGGGTCAACGATAAAAACTCTCGAGGCCTCGGTTAGGTTCAAAGCCACACCGCCGGCCTTGAGGGAAACCAGAAACACTTCGACATCGACATTGTTCATAAAGTATTCAATAGAATTTTGGCGTTGTGCTGGCGTCATAGTGCCATCGAGCATGACGGTGTTGAAACCAGCTCGACGTAGACGCCATTCCACAAGTTGTAGCATCGAGGTGAACTGGGAGAAGACAATTGACTTCAGTGTCTGCTTCTTGCTTCTCAATTTATAGAGCTCGTAAACAAGCATCTCAATTTTGGTTGACGATGTCCAGTCCTCCATGCGGATCCGGTTGATGATGGAATTCTGCTTGATGCACTCTTCCTCTTGCTCAATGTCAGGTTGTTCGAAATCGATTGACAAAGGGATGTGGCACCGAGGGCAATCGACGATTGAGCCCACATCGAACGACCTAACATAGTCTTTGGCGCATTTTCGGCAAAACTCATGATGACAACGGGAACGAATTGCTTCTTCCGCCGGTTCGTCGCAAATGCAGCATACAAGTACGTTTTGCCCGGTTTCTGCGTGTTTTTTCAGAATGAGATCTGGGTGATTCGCAACCTGGCGCATCTGCATGATAAGGCCGAAGATGTTTGCGTAGTTGTTCAACATGACACCACGGCTTACATACGTATCAAACTGCCTCGTCGTGTTGGACATAATGCTCTGGGAGAAATCACGTTCAATCTCTCCAAAGAATTCGTTATGGAGAATAACCCTGTAATAACGTTAATATTGTTTTTAGTACACCTAGGCGGAGAGGTTACGAACCGCTTTGGTGGAAGCTCCATCGAAGACGTGTGATCTCGTTTTACTCGCCGTAGCATGATCCTATCAGTTATAAGGCGTAGCTTCGACAATGCTTCCTTGCGGGCGTCCGGATTATCCCTTTCAGTGACTCCCGGAGTGTTAGTGAGGTCTCGGCGTACATTGAAACACAACTTACTAGGATTCAAGATTTCCTGGTTGAATATTGAAACATGGCTGAACCCACTATATAAGTGAAGACATTAGCTACTTGCCCATGGTAGGCGATGAAGGACCGTACCTATGCCCGCACTCAGTGCATTTTTTTGCTGCATCCTGTGACCAGTGGAGCTGCTGGCACTGGCACTGCTTGCAAAAGTAGCAGGCAAATGGTCGGACATCCAGAAAGCGAAGGAGAGAAAAGAACTCCCCAATCCGATTCTGGACAGGGGTACCCGACAGACACCATTTGTAGTTTGCTTTCAGTGCAAAGCATGCACGGGCGACACTAGTTGTACGTTGCTACAGACCCCGGCTGTCAATGCTTGATAACACGGCACTGTAAAAGAGAGGCCAACTATACCTTGATGCTATGCGCTTCATCCAGGATTAAGCGGTGATAATGAATAGAATGAATGACGCCTTTCCTGGTTAGTATAGACCGTCTTCTAGGTCAACAACATGACCTCTTACTGTTCTCCTGGATGAGTCCAACATTGCGATTCCACCCTTTCAGCTCTTTGCGGTGAATTGATTCGAGACCAGAATCTGGAATTTATGTCATGTCAGTTCTTAGGGCCCGTGACTCATTTCCTTAGGGTCACCGTACAAGAAATCATTATCACATCATAAGCCAGAAGATCCTCCTTTGTGAGAGTTTTGACCTTCGAATTCGAATTGTGGTAGATGAGCACATTCAATTGGCCGTTCGTATATGCCTAGTCCAATGCATTAGCGATACTACGACTTTAGGGTTTTAACGGGCATACTTTGATCTCTGATTGCCATTGCATTAAAGCAACTGGAGGAACAACGACAAGCGATGGCCTACCAATGGGGTAATCAGACATAAGAAGGGACACGGCCTGGATTGTTTTGCCCATGCCCATCTCGTCTCCCAACAATCCTCCTTTGTAATGTGATTTTTCTTGTTGAATCATCCAACTCAGGCCTTCAAGCTGGAATGACTTGAGTGTTCTCGATATACCCGGAGGCTGCTCTGCCCTTACCGGCTTTATCGGAGGAGTGTTTTTCAAATCATCCCACATTGTGATGACGCATGGGTGCTGCCTTTCGAGTTTTTGTCTTTCTCTAAGAGCCTGCATGCTTCGTCAGACATAGCGCAAGATAGCCCAAGATGAGAAACATACACGGTACCCCCTCCTTTCCGTCTCTGCTGGCTCTGAGCGAGAATTTCTGCCCGCTCTGCGTGGAATCCCTCGTGTGGCGGCTCCGCCTCTAGCATTCCGCGTATTTCCAACCCTGGAGCGCCTTCGTGGGATTAGAAGTTCATCCTCATTTGAGGAAGATACAGAAGAGACCGATTCAATGTCAGTTAGCTGATCGTCGTCTGATCCGCTATCGTCCATATCGATAGGGGATATCTGACGAAGACTACTCTTGTTAGCTGATCGAAGAGACCTTCTCACCCCGTGCGAAGAAATCGGTCCTTTAAATAGATCCTCATATGCATCGTGGTCAGAATCGAGCCCGATGACACTATCTTCTTCAGCCGAGTCTTTCATTCTGGATTGAAGCCGTCTCGAAGTCCTTCGTAACTTAAAAGGTGGTTCTTGATATTCTTGAGCTTGAAGATGCTGGGCCAATACTGCATCAGAATCTTGCAATGTGGGATGGCTTATGGATAGTGCTGCTGGTGACCTCTTTGATCCTCGTGGTGCATGTAAAGACATAGCACTCGATCGTAATTCCTGGGCACGTGTAGAGGCGCTAACCCTCTTTCTCGGTCGATTTGTATCTGATTCCACAGGTGTGACGGCTATACTGGTTGCTGGAGTACTGTATGCAGGTGTTATATCCTCATCGCCAGATACATCTTCGGTTGGAAGAGGAGAAACAGAGGAAGATGACACCGGAGGTCTCCTCAAAGGTATTGCAACTTCGATAGAGTATGGTCTATTCCTATAAGACATCCCTTCTTCCACCGTAGGCTTCCGGCCTATGGCATCACCTGCATTTTCTGAAATGTTCGGGGTCCCAGCATAAGCTGCTGAGGATGCTCTAGCGAGTCTCGCAGAGGTTCGTCTAGGTACGGACGAGGTATCTGGTAGTGCTCAAAATGTCAGTCATTGCTAATGAAAGTTCCGATTGATTTGTGATATTCTCATTTGGGGAATGCAAATATTTCTTTTTAGCGTCGTTGTGCCTTTGGGAGACGACAAAGAGACCTCACCGGCTAGTGGAGTGATTCCCCTCCTCGTAGTTGATGATTTCCTCTCCATTACGGTGAACCAAGTGACCGAATGTTTGTGAGGGCTAACCACTATGAGCTGGAGATTACTGGATGGTTGTCACAGATGTATCTGGCGAAAAGTGAGGCAAACGGTCGATGCAGCGCCACCCGGGGATGTTCTAGCTAGGGGAGGTTGTGTACTCCGTACCTTGGCCGCGGTTATCGGAATAAAGCGCCAGGATGATGGGACTTTGGGGCGAGGGAAAAAATTTTCTTTGCTCCCAAAAAAGGTTTCACTGCATCGATCTAGCCATTTGATGGAGCAACTTTAGGCACCAAATCATCGTTTTGCTGACTGTTGCCTGGCCTCAATCTGGCTTTCAAATTTAATTGTTATCTTTCCCCCTTGGCCGAACACGAAGCCGATAAGCCCGCCCGTCGACTTCTCGCGTTAAGTGGAACGCGAAATCACCACGGGTTCCTGTGACCTGCAAGTGTCGCCATCTTGACGCCTTCCAGTAAAAGATTCGCTTCATCAGCTATAATCATCTACGATTTGATATCATATCAAGTCTGGAAAAAATGTTTGTGTTTCGATTCAGCGTTGAAGATATATATATCGGTCATTGACAACAGAATTTCAGGGCAAACAGAAGGCAAACAAGGAATCAGATCAGGGGCCCGTATGTTCTCGATAGATTCTATCTTTCCCCTGTCATCATCCACAGCCTTTACTAATGCCACTACTATTTAGGCACTCTGCCTTGACCGATTTCTTGGCTGTAAGTGAACAGTTCCTGTCTGTTCCTGCTTCCGCTGTTCCACCGGCCATTTGCGGATTCTCCTGGAAGCCCCACCACTGACGAGCTTATGATAATCTACAGTCGAACAACATCTCTGCTGCTCAGATTCAGCAAGACCACCTCACACGGTTAAGGCAATTTGAACGTCAGACAGCTGTTGAACGACGAGAAACTGATCATGTCAATGATGATGAATATCAAAATGCGGATGAGTCGGCAGCAGACAAGAAAAAGCGGAAAAGGAAAGAGGCTGTCGCCCTCGCGAAGATCAAGAAAAGCAAAGAATTTGCTCGTCGTAAGGCTCAAGGCACAGGCGATTCTGACAATGATGATGATATCGCCCGAGAGATGATGTGCGAGGATTCTCAGCCCTTTGCATATCAGCTCGAGAACTGTGAGGTTTGTGGTAAACGTTTTACAGTAACCCCCTACAGCAAAGCTGGTCCCCGTGGAGGTCTCCTCTGTGCAAGATGTTCTAAGGAGCTAGCGGATGATGGGAAGAAACCCAAAGCTAATAGGCGGGGACCAAGGAGCGGGCGTCGCCAGAAGCAAAGTAATCTGCTCGATGGGCTTGCTCAATTGGGCGCTCCAAGCTTAGCGGAGATGTGTACAAAGGTAAGTCAGGATTTGATCAATAGTATGACCTTTTGCTAACCTTCGGCTATTATAGAAAGTAGCCGAAAACATTAACGATATCGAAGAGTTTGGAGATTTGCCCCCGCAACTGCTTCATCGTCTAAGTCAGATATTGTGCAAGAGGCGTGTCTTGACTTCAAGAACTCTTAATTTATTTCTTCGGTCGGAGCTTAATTTTATTGATATCTATGATGCTGCAAGTATGTTCTGGATTTCATTTCTTCCTCCTTGGCTCCCTTCCGATTGATTCTACCAGCTTTGTCCAGCCTTTCTTCTTTGCCCCGCCACTTTCGATACCAAGCTCGTTCCAATCCTACTTCATGCCAATGTGTCAAGACATGAGGATGCTAATTGCAACAGAGCTTGAAACACAGGACTTCGAGAAAATCTTCGCTTTCATGCCCAATCTGTATCACGTGAACTTTCGCTTTGCTGGTCAACTGAAAGATAAGGTAGTCGAATACCTATTGGACCGCAACTTGAAGATCAAGCGCTTGCAGCTAGATGCCGCAAATTTGATATCAGATGAGTGTTGGCAGCAGCTGTTCCGAAAATTGGGACCCCAGTTGGAATCCCTCAAATTATCCAATCTCGATTCCTCTTTGGATGATGAAACAGTGGAAGTGATGTGCAGGAAGTGCACATCGCTTCAACGTCTGAAATTGAAGCAGTGTTGGAAAATGGGCAATCGCTCTCTCCAAGCCATTTCCCAACTGATATCTTTACAACACTTGTCTTTGGACTTTGTTCAAGAAATATGTGATGAGATCCTGCTCAACACAGTTTCAAAACTCAGCCCACGCTTGCGGACGTTGTCCTTGGAGGGGCTATCTACCGCAGATGATCGTCTTTTGGATATCATACATGTCAATTGCCGCACTTTGACGAAACTTCGCTTTTCTGACAACGCAGTGTGTAGTGACAAAGGCTTCGTCACTCTTTTCACTGACTGGGACAACCCACCACTGGAATTTGTGGATCTTTCATCTACGAGAGACGTTGATAATTCGAACCCAGACGGACCTGTAGATGCAATTGGCCTTGCATCCCAAGGTTTTATGGCTCTCATGAACCATTCAGGGCCCGGGCTACAGAAATTAAACATCGCATCTTGTCGCCACGTGTCCCGCTCTGCTTTTGAAGAAGTGTTTGCGGCCGGGAAAAGATACCCCAATCTCGAGGAGATAGATGTGTCCTTCCATACAGTCGTCGATGACTATATTGTTGGTCGAATCTTTCAGTGCTGTCCTAAACTCCAGAAATTGGTCGCTTTTGCCTGTTTCAACTTGCGAGATGCTCAGGTTCCGGCCGGAGTTGCTTTGATTGGCGGATTAAAAGCTCAAGACCCCATTGTTCTTCAGGGCCATCACTACTAGATAAGCTTGGAAGCTCTGCATGATCTATACCCCTCGCCCCTGCATGCCTTGAAGGATGAACAGCTCACTCGTTTTGATATCGACGCGAATGTCGAATTCATCTACCTTTCCAGTTTTTGTTTGCTAAATTCTTACTTAATAGGGTCAAATACACTTGCTGTTTTTCGGTCTCCGTAGACTGAGCATGTCAATGGAACGGGCATAGCGAGCTGTATCAATGAACCAATTCCGGCCCATGTTTCACAAAAGCTTCCTTGGTTGGGGAATGGAATTCATTGTAATCGGCAAGTGCTTGGTTGCGTCTTTATAATACCGAAGCCCGGGCGGTTACAAGGAGCCGTAGACGACTACAACTTAAGATGGAATCAGATGGAGGGAGCTACATGTGACCAAAGGGTACTGGCAACTACAGCCTCGCAGACATGCCAACCCACTATGCGGCCGGAGATTATGAAAGATCAAGCACCTGGATTAGTCTAGCAAGGCCAAGATTTTCAAGTACGAGATTCCGGAGGAATAATAGCGCAGATATAAGGGAATGTGTTATTGAATAGTACAATACATAATACTACAGTATATACTTCTGAGTTACGGGTGTATCGAGTGGTCACTGAGGGATATGACCACTCTACTTTGTACTGTCATGGCTGAAGTCATTTATTACACACGAGTAGTCAACTGACTATTATTATATCAACGTAGTGGATACTTCAATGACATGGAGAATACTGCACAAGTAGTTACCAGCACCATTGCACTCAATGACCCAGCTTGATCGAGTAGCATCTTTATAGTAATGCTGACTGTGGGCGGCTACCTGGCAGAGTAACCAACCTCCGAACGTCGAAATTGGGCAATGAGAGATGTTCAATCTGACAGGTAGAAATCGGTATTAGCACGACTAGTACTTACTTGAGTATTATAGAAGGTAGGTTAGCTGTGGGCCGCCGAAAAAGAAGATTTGAAAGGTGATGGAATGGATGGGAATAGCTGAGCGGTAAGAGAAGAGTTATCTACTTCGAGAAAGGAATGCCTTAGCCATCAGGTGGTACGTCGGATGGCGGTGGTTAGTCGTTGGCCCCCCTTACATGACATTTGACGGCGGTGGAATGGTGGAATGCCTTGGAACGGACCGTGTCCGTATCAATTTATCTACCTCGGCCAGTTCTAGGCCTGATACCAACTCCCTCCCCACCTTTCATTGATTTCTCTGTCTGCCTCTTTCGGCGTTTTGGAGAAGCGAAAAGACATGAGGAAATAGAGTTAAATGTACATTTCCCGTTTCTTTCAAGCACCTCTCCTACACCAGGATGGTTTGGCTAAAATGCAAAGGAACACACGTTACCTGTCTAGTAACTGTAGGGTCTAGATTGATACCAGCCAGACAGGGTTGTCAGCTACCTAGGCGGCATTAATAGTACGTAGTAGATAGTCATACATAAGTAACTAGGAGTTTATTATTAGTCTTGAACCAGGTAGAGGTTTCAATCTGGGATAGTCTGACCAACCAAACCGGCGGTGCCGACTGAGTTTTGGCTGGCATTGCTCACTCACTAACCGCTCAGAGTTCGGAAGACTCAGAGTCAGAGTCAGAGATACTATATTTGGGGTTGCTCGCCGCCGGACTAACGCGCCGGGCTCCACCCTCCACATCCACTCCCCAGGGTCTGCTGAGAGAAAGTGAGAGTGAAAGACAGAAGGAGGAAGATGTTAGTTGTCTTGGGATTGGAAGAGCGGTTGGTCCTTGGGTGGATGCCGCTTGTTTCTATTCCTCTTCAAGCTAACCAACCTTTTCTACTCCTTAGGTAGACAGGATTTTTCCAAAAAATTTTCTTTTCTCCCTCCCATCATTTTCATGAAACAATTGGGCCTCTTTATTCATTCTGGTTAGTTAGCACTACAGCGGCTGCCGCCGCTGCTATTATTATTATGAATCATGGTTATTACCACTACTGTTACAATTACGAAGTACTATTCACTAGTAGTACGGAGTAGTACGATCACTATTTACGCCAAATTTGCATCAGGCTTACTTTTAGTATGTACTTAACAACAAGTAGATAACCTGAACTAGTCCGGCGTAGTTTTTCTTTCCCATTCAGTTTTATCAAACTCACTAGATTACCGACTGATCTGCGCCCTTTTCCTTTCCTTCCCCCGCCCCCCCTTTTCCCTTCCGAGTTGTCCCTGGGTGTTCTGATTCTGCCCACCACTCTATTGGATTTTTCCCCTGATTCCTTTTTATTCTTGTTGTCGTTTGTGTCTCATTATTATTATTGTTATTATCATCATCATCATTATTATTAATTTTTTTTTCTTCTTCTTTTTTCTTTCTCTCTCATTCCTTTTGTCCTCTGCTCTTGTTGCAGCTTCTGTTCGGCGTTTCTTACAAGAGGAAATTCGCCTTTGTCATTGCAAACTTATCCACCATCCACGCCCCTTCTGGTCTCCCGGGTGGGTTTGTTTTATTTACCCTTCTAAAACCGATCGGAGGAGAGGTCCCCATCCTCGCCAACAACGACCGGAATCCACACCGATGCGTACCTATGGCCCTTCTTAATTTATCATAATTGCTAGCCTCTAAGCCCCGCTGGCCGCATGTGAATCAGAGGGTCCTAGCTGCTCTTGATCGATTATACGGTGTATCAGAAACCTTCTCTCAGGCCACCTCGCCTATTCTCTCGATCTTCTCCTGTGACCCCCCTGAGTGAGCTCAAAGCATCCTTATCCACCACAATATTCTCTGGACGCTATTTTCGCCCATTCACGTCATTCACTTCATTTCCCGGCAATCTCTTGACCAGAAGCCCCGCTACGATCGAAATCCGTGCGGATTGGACAGGCCCAGAATCTTCCAAGCCCATAACCCCTCCCCTCCCTCCACCCGTCGCGGAATCCCGGTTTATGGGAATCGAGTAACGCAGCCGAGAAGGGGTTGGGACTTTCGTCGACTTTGGAGCCGGTGGCAGCGCCCTCAATTTCTCTAAAAGTGGTTCCGGCGTCACTAGTGGTCGCCTTGGTTTCAGCCCAATGCCAATCAAGCTTCCCAAGGGCTTCGCCCGTCGAAAATCGTCTAGCAATGCTCTAGAGGAAGTGCAAAATCCTACTCAGTCATCATTTCGAGTCTTTGAGCGACCGACCGGCGACAAAAAGTCTTTCAGCGATGGGAATTTAGTGGCAAAGCGCTTAAGCGAAGGTCAACCTTTGGATTCCCCCTCAGAGGATGACAATAATATCTTTGCTTTGCATAATTCTCAACCAGCAAGACATCAGTATGAGCCCCCTCTTTCGCCCGATGAATTTCTTACCCCTTTTCCCCATCCCGGTAAGGAGTGGCTGAGCTGACCTTGAGTGGTGGTGGAAGTACATTCGAAGGTACATCATCTGCGCGACCTCGCACATCAACACGCCGTTCAACAGACGGGCCACAGCCCGAATCACAGTCGCCACACACTCGGAACCTCTACGATATACCAATCCCTCCTCTGTCAGGTGCGATTCGCGCAGCTGGTCGCACGTTTTCATTCGGCGGAAGATTCTCCAAGGCATCTGCCCCGACACCTCCGCCTCAGCCGTCTACACCGGGTCCTTCTAGAAGCAGGGGTATGACAACAAGCACGTCAAGCACTGCGACACCACCAAAGCTTCCCGATACAGAACTTCGAATTGGAAAAATTGACGACGACTTTCAAAATATGTTCGGTGATATTGGGAAGCGCTATTATGGGTCGAAGGACTCTTCTCTTGATCAGCCACTAGACCTGGTAAGATGGATTTTTCTTTTCTGTGTTCAGTACCTCAATACCATGCCTTCCTTGTTGCATCGCCAAGCCGGTGAAGCAATGCAGCGCCAAGCTAAATTCTACTGTAGGACTCATCCGGACCTTCTAGCCGACCAGATGCCTTGCCTCGAAAGGACGAGAGGGTCTCACGCCCTACCCCCATTGATACTGACCGTTCAAGGGAGGTTGAGCCATCACCATACTCTTGGGATAGCCGACATTCGGAGGAGGGCCTTCTGACCACACTCGATTCACCCAATGAACAACCGGCAACACAATCATACCAACGCAATATCGATCCAGTCTCCGTTGGAGACCGGCGCAAATCTATTCCTCTGCCCGGTACTACGCCTTTGGCTACTACCTCCCATCGTTCCTTGGCAAAGCCTCGAACGACAGCGGACAAAGGTCTACGGAGAAGCGGGGTTTACTCTAACAGACGGGACTCTGTACCTGTTGAAGATGAGGACGCGAAATTAATCATGGAATCTCTGTACTCTAAAAGGAGCTCACAAGTACCATTTATGGCTGATCACGGGGCTTCGGATGCGGAAAATGATGGTCCTTTGTTTGACCAACCTGGGGCAAATTCTTCTCATCCTGATCGCCGGGCATCTATCCAGAAAGACTCACTGAGCTCTCCTGTGCTATCAGATCACCTTGATCCGTCGATTGCAGCCCATGCCCGTTTGGCTGCACAATACGAAAAAGCACAACCGGTAACGGTCTCCTCTACGAATAAAGTTATGACTCCATCCCAATTCGAACATTATCGTCAGCAGCAAGAGCTCAGACGGTCGAACAGCGATGCCTCGAAGAGTGAGAATTCCGCTGAGAGCGATTACGATGACGATGATGAGGTGGAGAAGGACCGTGAGGCCGAGAGACAGCGGCGCAAGCAAGAGGCTCATCTTTCAGTTTATCGACAGCAAATGATGAAGGTGACCGGCCAGGAATCGCCCGCGCCAGCTATGAGAACCGAATTGGATCAGGCTAGTAAGAGTGCGCCGAATTTATTACAACCTGGAACTACCTTGGGGAGTGGGAAAAGCAGTGATGGTGACGATGACGAAGAGATTCCTTTGGGGATTCTGGCAGCTCACGGATTCCCCAACAGAAACCGCCCCCCAAGCCGCCTGGCACCATCTAGCTCCATTCCTAACCTCCGGGCGTCTTTCCAGCAACCATACTTGTCTTCCCCGTCTCCTGCTTCCGTTGCAGAAAGGGATCCCAACAATCGTGGAAGCCTGCCTGTTTTTGCGCGAAACTTGCCGCGAGACCCTTATTTCGGAGCCAGTCTGGTCAACCAATCCAACAGAGAGTCTTTGGCCTTGGGAGGAGGAGCATCGGTCCATGGTGGACCTTCGCCTGCGCTACCGCCCGGAGGCCTAGTAGGAGTCATTGCCACGGAGGAGCGGGCAAGAGCAATGCGGCGAGGTAGCCCTAATACCCAAGCCATGTACGACTATCAAGGGGGGATGCCTGTGCCGCCTGTTCACCCTGGAGGCATTCCAAGACCTTACACAATGATGAGTTTAAGCTCGCCCAATGCCGGTGGCGTTCAGCCAACGATCTCCGCGACTGAACAGGCGCAGATAGAGTTATCTCAGCAGATGACGCAAATGGTGCAGATGCAGATGCAATGGATGCAGCAGATGATTCACATGCAGGGCGGACAGAGCACCCAACTAATGCCACCTGGCGGGCCTCCACCCACGCTAGGTGCCAACCTGAATGCGCGCCCATCCTCAATGCCCTCAGCTGGCAATATGAATAACCCCCATGCTGGGTACTCGGGCGATCAGCGGACGCTAAGCATGCTTGATCCGAATGTCTCCTCCCGTCTCAATAGTGCAGCTATGCCCCATGTATCTGGGGGCCTCAGGCCAAGCACTCCGGCTGGGCAAGGGTATGCGCCGTCTATTGCACCATCGGAACGCAGTAATGTTGGTCTGGCGCCTCGTTACAGACCCGTCTCTACGATACAACCCGACTTAGGAAATGTCGGCTCCCCGTCCATACCGAAGTCGTGGAGTGATGAAAACCGGAAGTCCTCGCTTTCAGCTGCAGTTCCGGCGGCACCACAGGCGTCTCAGATGAGCCACCGTCCCATGCCAAGTAATAGCAAACCAATAAGGGCTAGCAAGCTGAATGTTGGTGCAGACCAAGATGACGAGGACGATGATGAAGGCTGGGCCGAAATGATGAAGAAACGAGAAAATAAACGCAACAACTGGAAGATGAAGAAAGAAACGTCGAGCTTTGGAGATCTGTTGAATGCTGTGCATTAGACAGGCGGTCAATTGACATAACTCCCCCTCGCAGCAGGGGTATCATGTCCTGTGCATGTTATGCTTTCGCTTATTTTTGCTTGGCTGTGCTTTTGCCATCAAAGTCCTCTGCTCTTTATAGGGACCTGAAGGAGTTATACCTCACTTTGTGCATTTGTGAGCAGTGAATATTGTTGTTCCAGCTATTTCCTATTATTGTTGGCGGGTTCACCTCTTGCGTGTCTTCTATTTTCCTTCCCGTTCCTTTCTATGTTGTTTTACTTTCTTGGACATGACCTGATCTTTTTTTACGTTTATACGAGGGGTTTCCTCTCCCTGATCTCCCAATTTCTTAATCACTATCAAAGCAGGGTGCGGGACCATGACAGGCGTTTCACGGATTGACGATTTCCAACCCCATGAGGGTTGTAATTGGATGGCTTTAGCAAAGTTGTGCATGCATTTTCTGTCTTGTATACTCAATGTGTAGCCAGTTAACCTTACAACTTACGGTGACGTTCTGGGAGTTAATATATGTAGCTGATATCTATACAATAACCTGAGAGTATCTTATGCAGATCACTAAGGTGAATCTATGAGATTCTGCACTTGCTGCGGGGAAGCCTTAGTTCAACTATCAGATAATGCGTAGTTTATCCTACGATCCAGCGCAGCAGCTGGAGCTAAAAGGGGTGCAGCGTGAAAGTAGCTTAGTAACCAGAAACGGTCCACTTGGCCCATTAAAACAGGGCCTACCACGTGACTAATGTCACGGGATTACTAACCTTATCGGAGCTTGTCATCACCAGCCATTCTGCAATCCCAGCATTGCAGCATCATTTTGCCAACAGTACGGCGGGAGTTTCCAGTGGTATATATATATAATATTACTCTATCAGGTGATTCAATAAATTCCATACCTAAACGCTTGTCGGTCAGGCAACTAATCCATCCAAAGGTCCACTGAGCAAAGGAAACAGTGGCAAAGCAAAGCGAAAGGCTAGAAGTTGCGCACCAAGTGATATTCATATCTATTTGGATACTGTGATTCACTCCCTACTTCATCTATACAGTGTCCTGCTCGCTTTTTGGGCGCCTGTACACTTACAGCCCTCATAAAAGTCCGAGATATTCAATATCGCTCCCAGCTATTTCACTATTTTGGTATACGCACCTTTGGATATAGCCAAGACTACAAAATGAACGCACCAGACCGGTAGGTGGAACGTTCTTCTTACATCTACGCAGTCTATCTTGTAGCATGCTTTATTCCCACTTGGTTTCCGCGCCCCTTCCTCTCCTCCCCCACCTTTTGGCTTGTTCTAGGTTCGGGAGCTGTTCGCTGGTGGGAATGGTGTGACTGATGTCTCAATGCGGACGGTGCCATTAACCGGGCACATGCTCTTGCCTTCCCCCCTCCATTCACTGCCCCAGAGTGCCGAACTATGTTATGGACTCTACTCCTGTCCCTCTTCCTCTCCCTCAGTTCATTTCAATGTTTATGCCCCTTGTCCAGATCTCTCATTGAATGGATTGACCTCGTACTTTGCGTTGTCTTCACCCCCTAGCATTCCTGTCATATTGTGAATCTTTCTCGAACACAACGATTTTAAGAATGGAATCCATCATGCCTGCAGAAATGGTGTATGCGCGCCTGAAGAATGGCAGTGGTGGATCTCGCGTTCGCTGCCAGTCTACCGTCAACGTTTCTCATGACCAGCAGCCGAGGTCCGCTTCGGGTTTTCTTTGAAGATTCTACTTGCCTTCATTTGTGAAGCTTCTAATACATTCGGTCCACTGACTCGGTATGAAACCTAGATACGAATCGTTCGTTCTTGCGAATGGCGAGAATAAAGTCGAGATGGAGATCGATACTCGTATGTCATCCAAACCTCGCACCTAAACGGTCTGCGTTCATTTCTAACATGGGCTTCTTGTTCTAGGAATCCCATCTTCTGCCATCTTCACCTTCAATAAGGAAGATCACACGTTGGGAAATTTGATCCGCTCTCGCCTCTTGCAAAGCTCTCATGTTCTCTTCGCTGCGTACAAGGTATGTCTGCGATCGTGATTTATCCTCGTGTCTATTTCCGGGCATTCTTCATGCTCCCAGTTGCTGCTTTTATCAGATCTGTGGGGTTAGTTTGCGTAAGGGTCTGACGTGACTGTCATAGGTTCCCCATCCGCTTGTTCCCAATTTCCAGCTTCGAGTTCAGACCGATGGCGATATCACCCCAAAGGATGCGGTAATTGCAGCCTGCCATGAGCTTGTTCGGGACCTGGGTATCCTCTCTCGGGAGTTTACTAAGGAATATGAGCTCCGTAAGATGGTGGGGGCTACCGCCCAGCAGCAGAATGGCGTCCAGGATGGTGTTTAGCCATCAACAGGTGGAGATAGGGCATGAAGAGCTGGGTCAGCGGTCACTCACATGCTTTCGCTTCAGATATACGCAGCTGGTCATGCGTGTCTTTGTTTCATGGTCATACCCTTTGTTCTATGTTTGTTCTCTTTGCTTCCAGTGATTAGCGGGACCAAGCCCTTCGCTCCAACTTGCCTTGGAACAGAAAGTCATTTGCTGCCGTAGCTGTCAATCAGTCAACACGTCCATATATCTGCCTCGCCTTTAATTTGTTGTAGGCTTGGGCCCGGTAGCGACCTAAATAGATGAGAACCGTCTGGTGTGCTCATAGGGGTAGCGTAGATAGTGTAGATAGCTTCTGGACTCATCGTGATAGCTATCGGATCGGGTTTAGTGCACCGCTCCGCGGCTTCCCCCATCATCGGGCGTCCCTGATTACGTAACGGGGCAGCGTCACTGCTCCTGATCGGATGGATGCTCCTGATCCCCCCTCTCCGTCGTTGCCTGGCCATTTCCTATGCTACTCTTCTGTCTCATTGTGCGCCATCAGCTTGGTTTTCTGCTTCCTCAGCATTGTTGCTCGCTCTCTTGTTAGCCCCTCTTTGATGTTCTTCCTCTCTTTGATGCCAGCCTTACTCCGGTAATGTACTCTTCATCCAACACCTTCCTGGGCGGCGCCAACAGCGCACGCCCGGGACAGCCTTTGATGCAACAGTCGCCATACTCGCAGCAATTTGCCTCTGGCCAGCAGCAACAACCGCCACAACAGGGTGGATTCGCGCCTCAGCCGACTGGCTATGGCCCTCAAATGTCCAGTTTCGGGGCCTCCCAGTTGCAGCCTCAAGCCACGGGGTTCCCGGCTGGTCAGCTCCAACCTCAGTTCACAGGGTTCCCGGGTGCAGTACCACAATCGCAACAAACTGGCTTTCAGCCCCCAGTCCAACAGCCCCAGATCACCGGATATCCCGCTCAATCGCAGCCTCCACAGTTCCAGGTTCCCGCAAGTACTGGCCTCCCTGTTCGTCAGGCGCCTCGGACTTCGTCGGAAATAGCGGATTCATTCCAAGATGTTGCTGGCATGGCTCCGCCTCCGCCACCTAAGGCGTCTGCCAGTAAAATACCAAACATTCGGCTCTCCTTCATCACTGCGCAGGACCAGGCAAAGTTCGAGCAGCTCTTTAAGTCTGCGGTTGGAGATAATCAGACAATGAGCGGTGATAAAGCAAAGGAGCTTCTTCTGCGGTCAAAACTACCTGGTAATGATTTGTCCAAGATCTGGTATGTATCCGATTACATCCCATAAGTGGAATAAAGGTGTTAACCATTACAGGGTTCTCTCGGATTCTACTAAGTCTGGGCAGCTCTTCTTCCCCGAATTTGCCCTGGCTATGTACCTGTGCAACTTGAGAATCACAGGTAGAGAATTGCCAAGCGCACTCCCCGAGAAGATCAGGAACGAAGTTTCCAGCATGGTGGACATCATCTCCTTCCAAGTTCCTGATACTCAACCGGAACCTGCTGTTAGAACGAACGTGCCAAATTTCGATGCACCTCTCTTGGAGAATAAATCTGCTCCCCCCGCCCCCCAGCAGCCACAGCCACAGCAGCCGAGCAATGCGCAGCTTCTCACGCAGCTCACAGCGCAGCCTACGGGTTTTCCCCAGCCGACGGCGTTTCAGCAAAGTCAATCCCCCTTTCCGGGCCAAAACTCTGCCCTTGCGCCGCAAGCCACTGGGTTCCCTGGACAGCCTCAGCAATTACAACCGCAACCCACTGGATTCATGACCAATCCTCAGCCGACTGGGTACAACGGTCCTCGCCCTCCAATGCCACCAATGCCTACCGGCTTTGGGTCAAATTTGAGTCCTGCACAGACCGGGGGAGTATCGGCTCTGGCCGCGCAGCCTACAGGTATCCCAGGGCAATGGGGTTTCGTGAATGCTCCGGCAACTGGCTTGCCTAACATCGAAGCTCTCAAGCAACAATTGATGCCGCAGCCAGGCCGCGAAGGTGGATTCTCTGCGGTCGGCCTTTCTGGAAATGCTCATATCCCCTGGGCTATTACCAAAGAAGAAAAAAAGATTTATGACGATTTGTTTCGAGCCTGGGATGGTTTTCGTAAAGGCTTTATCGGAGGTGATACTGCGATCGAAATTATGGGACAAAGTGGTCTCGACCGGTCTGATCTGGAACGCATTTGGACGCTAGCCGACCCTAATAACAGGGGTCGGCTGAACATGGACGAATTTGCCGTGGCAATGCATTTGATCTACAGGAAACTAAACGGGTACCCAGTTCCGAACCGCCTGCCCCCGGAGCTTGTTCCCCCATCCACGAGAAATTTGAACGATTCGATAGGCACGATCAAGTCCATGCTGTCCCAAGATGCAGAGAGTCGAAAGGCGTCTGGCGCATTTTTGCAACCACAGAAGACTGGTGTCAGTTATCTGAAAGAGCACTCTTTCCGTGGCGGCGCAGTGTCTCCAGGAGGAGGTCGGAAAGATGCTACATTGTTCAAGAACAACGATGAGGCGGCTGCAGGATATCGCTCCAGCGCACGCCGTCGCGTTGGCAACAATGGCCGTACGCCATCCCCTGCTGCTTCCCAGGCTTCGGAAGAAGAGCTCTCCGTGGACCAGCTGAAGAAGAAGATTCGTGAAGCCCAGATTATGTTGGATGCGGTGGATTTTCAAGACGAGAATCAAGCGGAGGAAGACGATGCTCTAGACCGGCGAGACCGAAGAGAAGCGGAGAGTCTTATGGATCGGATACGGCGGGTACAGGATGATATTGACACCCACCCCGATGCTTCCTTCCGTAACCTTGATACCGGGGCCGAACGGAGGTCACTACGTCGTCAGCTGCAGGCTTATGAAGATCAAGTCCCTCAAGTGGCATCGGAGGTGAGGCGTGTTGAGCGGGAGATCGCGGAGGTTAGACTGGAATTATTCCGCCTGAAGGATGCAAAGGAGCATCCAAACAGTGCCTCTTCTATCGTGGGTACAGGCCCAGGGGGCACAGTCACTGAAGCCGATCGTATCAAAGCTCGTGCCCGTGCCAGAATGCAAGCTCGCGCCGCTGAACTTGCCGGAAGGCCCGTTCCCGCCAGCCAAGACGACGATGGAGCTGCAACTCGCCGACTCGAAGCTGAGAATGCTACCGTCAAGGCTGAAAGGGAGAGAAACGAGACCATGACTCGCGACGTCGAGGAGAGTGTTCGAGAGTTTGCGCGGAGTCTGGAAGACAGTTTTAAGGATGGTGGTGAAAGTTCGACGCGTGAGCATGAACGGCGACGCTGGGAGGACGCCTTGGGCGTTGAAGATGTGGTTCGCGATTTTATCTACGATTTGAAGCGTAGCAGCCGCACCGCGCATGTTCGCAAGGAAGAGTAAGTATCTTCACTCTCTCTTTGGAAGATGCGAGATTTTCATATAGAGCATACACTAATCATTGACCACCAGACAACAAAGAGCGGCAGATACGCAAAGCCAGCGGTCTCGCTACAATGAGTCGCCATTGGGAGGTGCAGCTGGTTCGCAACATTCCCCGACGCCTACCGGCTCAGTCGTGTCAGCTGGCTCCACGCATGAGGACCGCGTTGCGGCTGCTAGGGAACGTGCGCAGAAGCGGATCGCTGAACGGATGGCTGCTGCAGGGCTCAAGCCTCACAGTGACGCAGGAGAGACTCTGCTTCAACGGCAAGAACGCGAGAAAAAGGAACGTGAAGAGCGGCTGAGACGAGCAGAAGAAGAAGATGCTAAGCGAGAGCAAGAGCGACAACGCCGTCTGGCTGAAGAGCAGGGCGGCCCAACGGCGCAATCTGCTAAGCCAGCTAGCAAGAAGCCTCCTCCAGCACCGCCTTCTCGGAAGGGTCGGACTGATAGTGCAGGCCAAGCCGAGGCAAAGAAGGCAAGGGAGGAAGCAGCTAAAGTAGAGCAATCTACACGGGAACAAGCTATTAGAGAGGAACAGCAGGCGCAGGAAGAAGAGACAGCCCGCCTAGAGTATGTAACCCCTGCCAGCTCTACTATCCGTTGTTGATGCCGTTACTCAACCTAACATCTTACCAGGACTGCTGCCAGAGAACGCGAAGCAGAATTTCTGAAGGAGAAGGAGGCCCAGGAGGCCCGTCTTGCCGCACTGCAAGAACAGGTCCGACAAGGGAAGATCAAAAAGCAGGAAGAGAAGCGTCGTAAGGAAGAGGCAGCCCGCGCGGCGAAAGAACAGGAAGCGAGACTCGCCACCCAGCGTGCTGAACTTGAGATGGCCAAAGAGCGCGAGCGTCAGCTTCAATTGGAGCTGGAAGGCTTGGATGAGAGCTCCTCGGATGAAGAAGGTCCTATCAACATCACACCGCAGGACAGTACTCCGACTCAGAGTCAAGTGCTTCCTGCGGTAGACACCGCGGTGCCGCCCCCAGCTCCAGCTCCAGCTCCAGCTCCAGAGCTAGATGTCGTGACCAGTCCCGCTGAGTCTGCTAGTAGCCACGCTGCGCCCACCAGCATTAGTCCGGAAGCAGAGTCCAAGAATCCCTATTTCAAGAGAATCAGCCAGTCCGACAGCCAGGTGCCGCCTCCACCACCTGCACCTCAGCCTGCCGCTCCGAAAGCCGAGTCTCAGTCGACCAACCCCTTCCATCGGCTGGCACAACAGCAGGAGAGCTCCAAGCCTGCCTTCACTGCGCCCGGTCCACTGGAACGCAAGTCTCGAGTGCGTCCCGAGGTGGATGATGACTGGTCGGCGGCTGGATCGGACTTTGACGACTCGTCTGATGATGATGATGAACGGCCGGGTGGTGGTAGCGCGAAGCAACTCGCAAGTATACTCTTCGGCACAATGGCTCCTCCCCGGCCTCTGAGTGCCATGGATGACAAGACTCCTTCAAAGTCGTCTACCCCCGTCCAGGACAGTCCAGCAACTCCCACACCGCCGACTGAGGCAGCTGAATCCCCCGCTGCTGTGCCTCCTCCCCCGCCACCTCCGCCAGCCCCCGCCCCGGCAGTGCCCAGTCCCAGTGCTGCGGCGCCACCTCCGCCGCCTCCGGCTCCCTCCATGGCCCCCCCGGTGCCGCCTCCAGGCGTTCCCCCACCACCCGCGCCCCCGGCTGCTCCCACGGGCGGCGCTGGTAGAGGTGCCTTGCTAGCATCGATCCAGGCAGGAACGGGGCTTCGAAAGGTCCAGACCAACGATCGCAGTACTAGCTCTTCCGCAGGACGTGTTCTGGACTGAGCCTTGAAGTGCCACCTGTACACTGTTCGGATAGAGTTTCTGTGCGTTTTTTAAGAAGTTACCTTCCTCATGGATTGTTGTAGGGAGAGCAGAGAAGACACCATACTCACTTTATTTCTCTATTCTTCTCTCGTCGGTCTTCTGTTTATTTACAAGTTCTAAACATGGGGATGTCTTCTGTGTTTATTTCAGCCTGTATTGATTCACTTCAGATACTAAGAAGACGGTAATAGCCAAGGTTGCGTCTTGTGTCAGATGATCAATGTATTCGTAAAACTAGAACATGTCAATATATATAAGACATATGTACAGTATGTGTGATGAGAACACACTAGTGTATCCATAATTATGGACTGGTGAACATCAAAACAACAGAGAAAAGAAGCGCTCGCAACACTGAAGAAAGAGCCAGTCAGGAGAGACCCTAAACAATGCTTACGAGAGGATAGCCAAACAAGGGCTCTTTCTGCCTTACGCTTGGGTCTAAACCTCAGAATAGAACCTCGGCGAGAACATTGCCAAGTGTACTAATGACCCAGAGAATGACCAGGCCCCAGCCAATCTTCTGGTCCATCCTCCAATTATTCAAGGGGACGACGATCAGCAGACCAATCAAGGTGATGAGTAGAGTAGCACCGCTGATGACGAGGACCTTGGAGACTTCAATCTCGTAAGAACCACCCGACACGGCGATGGCTTCTGGTTTGGCATTCACGGTCATGTATAGTCCGCCTAGGCCAATACCTAGAAGAATATTGAGCATGGGGCCTCCGAAACAGGCGCTCAGCGCCATTACGGGATATCCTAGGCGGGCTACCGTGATGTCTGCTACCAGGTCACCCAAGGAATTACCCACTGCAAACACGGTCAGGCCGAGAAGCGAGTCACTGATGTTCAAGATAACGCCTAGGGTCTTGAGCAGGCTGACAACCTCGGTGGCGATGGTTGCGATCCAGCAGATTGCGACAATGAAGCCTAAAAATGCTAGAACGGGCCGCCAGGCAGTTGGAGGCTGGGAAGCGAGGTCGTGTCGTGTGCTGATCATCAGGCAGGTGGTGCATATCAAAGAAAAGAGAAGAGAGACCATGGACGGCAGGAGAAGATGTTCGACATCCAGATCCGAGTCAACTGTCGTCCAGTACATCAAGGCCACGAAGAAGGGGCCCACGAAGAGTTGCACCCAAACTAGCCAAAGGCACCACTCTTTCGATGGTGGTGGTGGGGAATCTATGTTTGGCTGGATGGCCGGCAATTCGGAATCAAAACGAGAATGTCTCGGAATTGGTTCTGGCTTGCCGTTTTGATCAACCGTGTTCCGTCGTGAAATGGGCTCTTGATCGAGCGCACGAAGAAGTGGACTATCTTCCGGCAGTCGCACAGCAGGCGATGGTGCACCGTCACCGTCCGCCGGAGTTACTATGACGGGAACAGCGCTTGCACCCGCTTCAGGTTGTACAGGTTCAACCACCGGGAGGGTGATTGTCAGGAGCAATACACTGGGGGCCGCAACAATTCCCAAGAGTCGTTCCCAGAAAGATTTGGATTTCCAGTCAGCCAGAGTCGGGAAAAGGGTGGGGAGGATGGGCTGGGAAGTGAGCGACAGATGGGACCACCATGTCGGGGTTGTCGTCCGGTTACTCCCACCATCCAAGGCGCTATCGTGAATCTGCAACCGCTCCGTCGGGCTTGATGCGGCTGGCAGGCGTAAGCTCGGTGCCCCAGAGGATGGGAAACTGGGTACATCTTGAAAGGGTGGGAATGGGCTTGTAGGACTCTCCGGGAAAGCATTGGCCGGGCCTGGGGAGAGGGTCGTTCCGCGCGGGGACAATGGAAGCGGCGAACGAGGACGAGAACTCGACACTTGATAAGTTGGGGCATGGAAAGCACCAGGGGGCGCAAGGAGGTTGGGGCTCTGAAGATGCGTGTTCGACTCAGTACTGGGGGCTTGCGAGACGGCCAGCTGAGGGGAGCCGGTTGATCCTGGGCTCTGATCGGATGCTAAGGCGCCCGTTGTTTCTGATGGCGATTGGGTATCCACAGAGGGCCGATGAACAGTGAGGAGCGGCTGCTGATTATTGACAGTGAACATGCTTGTGTCTAGTTTCAGATCGGCGGCGGCGTTGGCTGACACCGCTCGAGTGCGGGCTGAACCAGTGCCTCCATTGGGCGACAAGCGGTCACCCAACGAGGGACGGCTGGCCCGCGGATGAGACACTACAGAGGCATTGTCTGACAGGCGCGAATGCGAGCGCGAACGCTCACCATCTGAGCATCGCTCGAGATCAAACGACTCGTTGCGATGGATATTCCGCGACCGTTGAAGTGAAGAGAGGACGGACTGAAACTCCAAAGCACCCACTAGACTTGGTCTGATGGGGTTCAACGTATTGCGCCTCCTTGTAGTAGGCCGATAAATGTGCATGTTGTCGCGGATCTCAGCAAGGTATCGATTCCGGGTTTCGTCGTCCTCCTCCCCTTCTCGCCAGGCTGGCACACCAGATCTCTCCAGGGCGTCGAAATCCTCGCCGTGAAGGAGACTTGTAGCCTCCGACGCGACACCAGGGTCATCTTCCTCCTCTTCTTCGATGTCAAGTTCCTGATTGTCCGGAATGTGGAAGTGTGATCGAGCAGCTAGATTCCTCTCGTAGGAGCGCCGTTGTCGAGTCAAATACCAGTGCCACGTCACCACCAATGCAACATAGAAACAATAGAGCGCCACCATCATGGCAGATTCCCAGACATGGAGGCGGCCATCGCCCAAAAGATACATACTAAAGGCCATCGCAAGGATAAAATATCCTACGTCACGAACGAAACTCCTCCGGGCGACCTTGAAGGGGCGGACCAGCGCCATTGAGCCAGCAACGATGGATGTGATGAAGCTTGCCGCACCGAGCAGCTCTCCAATGGCCAGGCTCCCACTATTCGACCGCATGGCGGCGAAGGTGGAAAACACGTCCGGGCTGCCATTTCCGAATGCAAGAAAGGTGACACCCGTGAGGCTCTCACTCAAACCGAGGACACTGGCCAAGGTGCTTAGATCTATACAGAGGAAGTCGCTGGCAGCAATGCCGATGGTGCTGAAGAGAAGCGATAGCCACAGGACGATGACGATGAAAGCGAGCGGCTTGGCCTTTGCCGCAGTGCAGTAGTAGAACTGGAGGTAGGAGAAGAGACCCTCCTCGTGATCGGCGCAGTTTGATAGGACGAAGGCACATTGATCTTTGGCTTGACGGACGAGACGACACTGTCAATCAGAACAGCAGGCTTAGCAAGTCCCCAATTCGCTAGGTAAGGTTATCCTCATCATACCTCCAGCGCGTTGTCCCGCATTCGAAGCTGAGCGACATGGTGAACCGAGACCCGCTCGGTAGGCTCGGCCAGACGACCAGAGACCCAGCTGAGAATAGCAAGGAGGAAGAAAGCCAGTAAACACGCCCAAAAAGGTCTGGCCGAATATCCACGCTTCTGAGAAGCGGTACTTCGAGAAAGGAACTTGGGCATTAATAGAGGAGACATGGTGGACGATCGGATTGCGGCATCCTGGGCGATAAGCAAGTGATGGTGGAGTGTCACAAGGCGGGTGGACTAGTTGATTAGGTTCGGTTGGGAAGCCTGGGAAGGATGTTTGGAGACGGAAACCAGAGAAGGGAGGACAGGAGGGGAAAATGAAAACACTCGAAGCCAAGATAAAAGAGTAAGTAAGGGGTGGGGGTGGGAGGGGGTTTAATGGAATCGAGATTTGGGCCGTTTGCTAGAAACTTGAAGAAGAAACCTTGCCTTGATGATAGACATGAATTGGAGAAGTTGATGGGGTTGATGTCAGAAGAGCGGAGAGACCAAGCAAGCACATCAAGCTAGATCGGGAAGGCGGTGGGGAGGGAAGAGGAGCTGAGATGCGATGATGATCCATCCAGTCAGTCGATCAATGGAGTGGGTATCTATCTAGATAATCATTCAGAATTGTCAATGGCTTGCTTCTATGGACTATCTAGTTAGAGTGAAATCACAATGACTGATTCGGCATCATAGAAGAATACACGAGATCATTTTATGTCTAGATTTGAATCCATCTATCATTACTTATCAACAACTACTTGAGACTGACTATATTACATGTACTGTGTAACTAATAAATAGCCCCCCCACCCCCATCTGGTATATTTCCAATACCTACGGGATACATTTGGATGGTACCGGATACTATACGGATACCGTATGTGCAGTGCGGGTAATGTCCTGTAATGTATGTATTGTGGAGCCACAAAAGAAAGTGCGCGGCTGGTTGCTGCCGCGCGGCCGTATGTTTATGTTGATTGTTTCTTTCTCGTCCAAGTTCCTTTCTTCGGCCTCGTCTTTTGCGACACATGGAAAGGCGGTGATCGGGGCACGCTCGACTTGACATTTCTCGCCCCGATATTGCGACATCGTTCCTTGCCTTTCCCCTACTATCGACTATTGACCTGATTCTCCTTTTACCAGAGACCAAGTCGCTACAGTTACCGTCGTTCTTTCACCCCTCCTCCCCCTCCCCCCCTACGGCCAGGGGATTACTTCACAATGCCCCGCGTCGCCAAACCCCAACATCGCCGCTCCACCGGCGGCGCATCGACCCCTCATAAGCACTCACCTATGAAGTATGTCCTATACCATCATACCCTATCTATCCCATACAGCAGCCCATAGCGCTGACCGCACTAGGATCCCGCTCAATGATGACATGGGCGAGAAGGCGGCCCGTATGGAGGCCAGACAGGCGCGACATGACCGCCAGATGGATCAGATCAAGGCCGCCGTGAAGACCCCCATGCCGCCTCGACGATACACCGGTCATGACTTCAATAACATGAGTCCCTCGACGCCCCGAGGCTCGGGACATCGGGGCCGCGACAGCGATGTCGATGGACGTCGTCGGGCAGTCACCCCGATGAAGCGCGTGCCCATCTTGGCCAATTTTGAAGAATGGATGAAGATGGCGACTGACAACAAGATCAATGCCAATAACTCCTGGAACTTCGCCTTGATCGACTACTTCCACGACATGTCTCTCCTCAAGGAAGGAGATGGCGTGAACTTCCAAAAGGCCAGTTGCACCTTGGATGGGTGCGTTAAAATCTACACCAGCAGAGTCGACAGTGTGGCTACGGAGACGGGTAAGCTTCTGAGTGGTTTGGCGGATAGCCGGGATAAGAGAGCCCGCGAAGCTGGCGCAGACGGAGAGGATGCTGAGGATGACGAGGACGGT